GCTTCTCCTGTACTTCTTGCCTAAGCCAGCTCTGGATAATGTCGATATGCTTAAGTTTAGTATCAAGCTTTGGAGTATCTCTTTGTAAGAGACGAATGGTTTGTTGGTTGTCGCAGTAGATGTTTGGATTGTCCTGAATACGTAGCTCAATATAGCTAAACAAGCGTATCCACCACAAGAACTCCTTTGCGGTTGCAATAAGAGCCCCAAACTCTGACTCTGTGCTTGAGGTAGTCACATGTCGTTATTTTGTTGATTTGTAGTGTATTGGACCTCCGTATAGTTGAAATCAGTATCCAATAGAGCTTTTCCGGGTTTCGACGTCGTCAGCGAACGCAGCGTCGCTCCAGGAGAGAAAGGAATCCGCGCCTTAGAAGTTGCCGTCAAATTCAATTGCTAAATAAGACGTTCCTACTAAGAAGTGTAGTAAGTGGTCAACGGCGTAGAGGTGTTGAGGCGACGGATTGGTTAGGTATTCTGAGAGTCTTGAAACAGCTCTACAGATATCCGGTCTGGTATAGCAAGAAGCAAAGTTTACACTCCCAACCTTTTGCTGATATCCAGTAATTTGAGAAGAAGAAGCTGTGCCATCCCAGGGTACTAGCTTTGTTGTAGGGAGTGGTGTTTGTGGTACTCGGGTAATAACAATGTTGAATCGGCTTGCAAGACTTTGAATATAGTCGTCCTGAATTAACCAGAGCTTCCTTCTGAGCCTGTCCCGGATGATTCGTACACCTAGGAAGTGCGTAGCTTCGCCAAACTGTCGTATTTGATATCTCGAAAGCAGCTGTTTCTCGAATTCGTCGACCTTGGACTGATTTTCCTTGGGATAAGCAATGATTATGTCATCCACGTACAGACAGGGTACTAGCTTTGTTGTAGGGAGTGGTGTTTGTGGTACTCGGGTAATAACAATGTTGAATCGGCTTGCAAGACTTTGAATATAGTCGTCTTGAATTAACCAGAGCTTCCTTCTGAGCCTGTCCCGGATGATTCGTACACCTAGGAAGTGCGTAGCTTCGCCAAGCTGTCGTATTAGATATCTCGAAAGCAGCTGTTTCTCGAATTCGTCGACCTTGGACTGATTTTCCTTGGGATAAGCAATGATTATGTCATCCACGTACAGTATAAGTTAACCCTTTATATAAGTTATATCTACCTAGGTAATCTTCGATAACTAATTATATACTAGTACTATTGACATGAATTAATCAATTTGTAGTGTCCCACAATATCCACAAGGGAGGATGGTACTTACAGTTTTCTTAGCACGTTCGGGTTGCTTCTTTGAAGGCCCATATTCAGCGTCTTCATTTAGAATATGCTTGTCCGTCTCGGCTCTGTCCCTCGAAGTAACTGGAAGCTGTCGATATATGACTCTTTCTCGACTTTCGGCTTGATCTTCATCCGCTGCGAAAGGCTTACATGTCTTGCAGACGAAAGAAAACCCTTCCCGGTCTGCGTCTGTGTGGCTGACTCTTACGCATTTACTATGCTGCCATGTGTTGCACCTATCACATGCAATGCTATGTGTGCCATTATCAACCTGTCCACAAGCACCACATGGACAATTGAACAACCATTGTTCTTCTTCTTCGATGAGCTGAATGGGTGCTCGTTTATTCCTTGCGGATTCTGCTTTGAGAGAACGGTCGGAAAGAGCCTGAGCTTTCAGTGATACTAATGTTGAAAGCTCCGAGGCTCTTGGGCTTTGGATAGAAGCAGCATCGGAGAGACCATGGCAGTCTTCAATTTGAGAGGGACTTAATGAAGTAGCCTCTCGAGTGCCTGGAATCTCGCGCAATTCCTGAACCCTGGGCTGATAAAAGTTAATTCATCAATATTCAAATGAGAGTGCGTAAGGGATCACAGCTACCGGTTTCAATTCTTTCTCTAATTTCTCCAACTGAGATTTGATATGGATCCTCTCTTGATGAGGAATCACAAGCTCGGCTGATCCGTTCTTGAGTATCTCTTCCTTGTTTGGGGAATCCTCCTTGCCGTATTTTCGCCATAGATGGTTACAGAGTTCGCTGATTATTTGCTTCCAGTTGTATAGCTCACCTGGCATATCCTTTGAATGAATGTGGCCAACTACGAACGGTTCTTCGAAAGGAAAAATGCTTTTGTGTTTGATGCAGAAATCTAATAACCCAAGGAGTGCCCATTCATCTTCGCGATGCCAAACGGCCTTGGATCTGGTTAGCTGAGAACGTTTCCTCTTCGTCATGCTGGATTTCTGCAAGGAGTTCTAATCTTCGAGGAGAAAGCGTTGTGGGTTATATCGAGTCTGGCTGGCTTGAAAACTTGAAACCAATCTGGGAGTTGAGAGGAAGGAAAATTGAATGCTTTGTTTGCTTCCGGCGTTCAACAAGAGATTCAGTGTAGGGAATAGGTCCAGTGGATAGTGCAGTGCACTGCACTACAGTGCAGTCTATCTAATTTTGTACGGTTTGAAGGTTCCTATTTTGTACTAGCTAGTTAGTACAGTTTATTAATTTAAAACTAGCAAACTGCACTGCACTATACACTGTACGTATATATAATTAAAATATCTATATATACTTCTTTTGGGTGAATTTAGGTGGGTTTTGATTACGTGCTCGGAGAATCGGGGATATCTAATATAAGCTAGCCGTTTTAAGCAAAATCTGACAATTTCTTACACTCTAATTAGCTTAGAGCCTACCGCCTAGAAACTTTCAGCTTATTATATAACTCCCTGATAAATCACGTGATAAAGAGGCAGAAGCTTCAAATACAATTGAGTACACACCCAGTTTTAGTACACTATCGTAGTGCACTGTAGTTAGTGCAGTGGTTTTTGCACTATAGTTTTACAAATAACACTCAAACTACAGTTAGTTCTACGATATCAAAACTGCACTACGCACTGAACGCACTGCACTATTCCCTACACTGAAGAGAATGTTCGGGCTTAGCGAAACTGCCTTGCTGCAGGAGGTAAACCCTGCCAAACGGCTCGCTGCATTACACCATCGTATCAAACCATGAGTCTACCGCATAAGTCCTGAACGCCCCGTCTACACCGTTCGTTGGGCAATCGGTAATTGTTTTTGGAAGATGTATGTCGCCTCGGCTGTGTGGTACATGGGGGCGGTGGTAAGGATGCTTTGAGGTTGCATTCGAGATTGCCTTTGAGGTTCTATTTGATTCTTCTGATCTATCATCTTAGTGTGACTCAAAAAACCCCTGGCTTAACGGTTGCCAGCATTCTTGAGACGCTGAGATGGAGATGCTCAAAGGTTTAAGACCCATTGAAGGCCATCTCGGAAAGTGACTGGGTCGCCACAAAGCCTCCTGATGATTCTCAACACATTGAAATCAGTCCATCGCCATGAATTCCGACACCCCTCAATTAAAATCTTTTCGAAGCTTTGAAGCTCGTCAAGATGGAGACAGACAAACATCAAGAAGCGAATCCTACCTTCGAACAGGTCGAGAATCCTCGGTAATTTCCGCAACCATACAAGCAGACTCAACAGGACGCGATATGTCAATCGATCTCGATGTGTCGGCCGACGCTACCCATTTGAAGCGGTTCGTTGTTTCCGTCGATTTCGGAACAACGTTCTCATCAATCTCTTTCCTAATACTTCCAAGGAATACTCCGCCCGATTCATTAGACCCGCACATTCTTTACCACCATATTCAAACCATCGACCATTTTCCAGAAGAGCCTTGTCTCGGACTTGCGGAAAGTAGAAAGGAGGTTCCAACTGAAATCTGGTATCCGAAGGAAGAATATCTGGAAGACTCTATAATGGGTGATGGGACTGGATCTGATGACTCCCCAGAAGGGGATATGCCTTTCCATCTGCAGAATGAAGATGAGGAAAACACATACTGGGGCTACGAAGTGTACTCCTGCCAACGGATAGACACAGATCCGAACCAAAATCGGCGGATGGGGGGATTTAAGCTTCTCTTTGACGAGAGCGAGCTCACGGCACAGATACGACTTGATCTAGAGCCGACTCTAGATATGATGAAGAAGAAAAAGATAATAAAGGATAGAGAGGATGTCATCTCTCATTACTTGAAACATCTCTTTTCTCATGCAAAGGAAGAGCTTTCTGAGAAGCACGAGTATACCAACGACTGTCCATTGGGATTTGTGCTCTGCGTCCCACCAATCTGGACTCCCAAAGCCTGTAGGATCATGCAGACAAATATGGTACGGGCGATTCAGGAATCGGGATATGGGAGCTTTGGAAACTGCATTGACAATTTATTTATTGTTTCAGAACCGGAAGCGGCAGCTGCGTATGTAATTGAAAGTACTACGACTGTTCTGGTGAGTAAACACTATTCTGCGAGTGCTTCTAGGGTGTCTTCGGACGTATTGACACAAGTAGCCCAAGGAAGCTTTTATGCTTCTTGATGCCGGTGGAGGGACTGTTGACGCGATAACCTACACCGTCAACCAAACGTGCCCGCTGAGATTGGAAGCCGAGGGCGTTGAAGCTGGAGGTGAGTTGAAGCTGGAGGTGAGTTACCAATTTCAATCCTTGTAACCCTGTTTGCTAAGAAGCAGGGGCGCTTTGTGGTTCGAGCTACCTCAATAAAGCTTTCCAAGAGCACTTAAGTGCAAGATTGAAAGACGAGGACTATCTGGAACGAAATGGCATCAGTATTCGCAGTATTGTCGATACGGAAGTGGTGAAATTCGAAAACAACATAAAAAGAAAAATTGACATAATCCGACCGACATCCGTTTTTGAGTTTGTCGAAATTCAAGACTTGAGAGCTGATCCGAGAAAGAATTTCGGGCGTAACCGCCTTAGATTGACGCAGTAAGTTAAAAAACAGAATGACATTTACAAGTTGGCCTTTCTGACATCTTAATTATAGCAACGATCTGAGAGGAATATTTCTTCCCGTTTTGGAAAAGGTAAGTGGGCTAATGGAGCGGCAACTCGAGTTGGCAAAAATGAGAAGGATAAACGTGACGGTTCGTCATATCCCTCTCAAGCGATTGAAATTTGAGTTTAAACGTTGGGTAGAAAGTCATTCTCATCGGAGGGTTCGCCAATTCTCCCTCGCTCCGCTCTTTCTTGAAGCGGAAACTCGCTTCAATTAAGAGCTATCAGGATGAGGATATTCCACTGGTCTTTCCAATGTCTCCGTACGTCACCTTATGAACCCACGAATCTTTGCTAATTTTTCAAAGTGGGCCCGCCGTCGCTTTCTGGTGCCATCCTCCGAGCCCTCAACAAGAGAGACGGGCCGAGACGCATCAGCCGTTCAAGTTATGGATTTCGATGTCATGAATCGTTCAATCCTGATGACATCCCTGCTCACAGGGGAATCATTCCCTATAGCGAGCCTTTGGATGGCGGGAAGTACTTGAAGAACACGATAGAGTGGCTAATAAAAAAGGTGGGCGTTTTGATATGCTCGTATCTCTAATTGATCCAATTTCTGATCTGGCCTCGCAGGGAGATGAAATCCCGAGCTATAAAGAGTTCTCCATGAAAGTCTTTTATATATTTGATGTCAAACGAGGCACGCGATTCGAATGCGAAGAAGTGCTTTTCGTATCTGACGACATCATGGAATCTCACTATCGAGAAAGGCATGAGTTAAACAAAGGTAAGTGATCAGGATGCGGGACAGAATTCTCACGGCCAATGTCGCTAACAATCTGGGTTTGAAGGAGCCAAAAGAGCAGGGACAATTGAAACCGACATGACATTCCTCAAACAACGCAACCTGATTCAGTCAGTGGAAGTGGAAGATGGCGTGGGCAAAAGACATTATCATGTTGAATTTGAGCTTGTGATGATTGTCATTGATCGCAACTTGAGATGGGAGGCAAGATACCCGGCTGGCGGGGAAGTGCCAGGAAGGGGGCAGGTCTCTATCGCGTCAGCTTTTTGCCGGGTACTAGGTAGTGGGTTTGTAATTGTATGTTTGGCAAGCAATGAAAGACGATAGAAAGCTTGCTCAAGTGTGTTTGAAACTGATTTCATGAATATCTTCAAGCTTCAGTTTCACTGAAATAACCCTTCTAGCCATTTTTACACCCCTCCCCCTTGACTCTATCTCTGCACCCCCACATTTCTCCTCCTAGAACAAGTCAGCCCTTCCAGCTCTCTAAAATATAGCTCTTAAGCCTTTATCTTCCGGACCAGTCAGTATCTTCAATGTTGTAGGTATAGATGGAGTCTAGCTTGGTAGGGAATTATAAGGTAATGGGCAGACAAATAGGGAGCAGGTAGATAATAGTAAGAGGTATAGAGGTTGAGCTAGACGTAGTACCGTGGCCGCTGCTAAAACTCGGTTCTCGTAATAGAAATCTCTCTAGTATACGAGCGCAATAATCTTACGACAGACTTGAGCTTAGCTCTCTAGACGAGGGCAAGCCTTGGATAAAGGTTCGTAGAATCACTCCGTATAGATGTTAGTGTTCATAATCCCTATCCGTATTCAAGACCCTGATAAGATCCCTTGTATTATTTGACTCTAAAATACTTTCAGGAGAAACCCCCGCTTTCTACTACCGCTAAAGGAGGTTACAACAGTTATAGACATGAGGGGTATCCTCCAAGATACTTCAGAATATTACTCCGGTTTCCTTAAGGTAGCTGTTTTGATTTGTCTTTAGAACTTCGAACGGGCCTACATTACCTTCGTAAGGGTCCGGACAACTCCCTTGTTACCCCCTTGTCGATTTCTAGTAAATCTCCACATGGATCGAATAATTCATTTAGCTTAGAAGGCTATATTCTGGGATTACAATCTTTTCAAGTTTTCGTTTACAGTGAGGTCAGCGATACCAGCTATCCATTCCCTTTATTTTAGTTACGACGTAATTGCTGCCAGATCTCGCTTAGCAGAACTGGGGAATATGGTTATCTGCTTGCTTAATATTTATTAGCTTTACCGTAATTAATCAAAAGGGGATGTTCAACCTGCTAGTTCTTACTGATATTTTGGAGGGTTGAAATAGATGTTGTAATGTAGAGAACTGCAGATTCTTTCCATCACGGTCTTCGGCCTGAAGCCAAAATGCTGTCATTTTGACATATGAGACTCTAGACAATTAGAGATATCCCTAATCAAGGGTGTTTGTGATCAGTTAGTAGGATAGGTCGTCAGGTTGCAGTGAATTTACTGAATGCGATGACTGCATTCCTCGAGTCATTTTATGACCGAATGCGGCAATAGTGAGGCTGGGGAAGCGAAGCGAAAACGTGAATGGACTGGTGTGATTGGCTGCCTGTAAAGCAGCGTTCAATTCTGGGGTACTTGCTACGAACAGTCAACATTTAAAGGACTTGTATAATGTTAATTCACTGTTTTTCTATAGATAAGCGGTTTTCCACACAGATATTGGCAAGTTATCAGGAAGTGCTTGGAAACCTTGGAAGGGTTCCTTTATTACGTAATAGGTTAGTGAATGAAGGTTGCTACGCTCAGTTAAGGTGAAGTGTAGTCTGGGGTCAGTGGAGTCATCTGTCAAAAAAGTAAACTATTGAAATTTCCAGAACCCATCTAGTAGTAACTTATTCTGGAAGGCCTCGATCAACATAAGTAGTCAATTCATTTAGATGTCAAGGCAAGTAACTACTCGTAGAACTTTACTCGTATGGTGCCGATTCACCTCTTGCGCCCCCCGCCGCTTTGTATCATCTGCACAGACCCACTTTCATGTGCACATCCCTGCAAACGCCAGCTTCTGACCATACTTAAAGATGGTCGGTCGCGCCTTCCAAACAACTCCCACACCAGAAATACGCACGTGATCGAGGAGCCCTGAAGCCTCCCCCGTCGACTCTATTCGATAGCATTACTTTGTTAGGAAATCTTCCAAACCATCGCATCCACCAGATTCTCAACTCTCTACACTCCCATACACTCCACTTCGACCGGCATCAAACCGCATACCAACGCACCAACACGCAACCGCTCCCTCGCTGATCCGCACTCGTTGCGCGCGTAAACAGAAAAGGTGAATACACGTCTACAAGGTGGTGCGGAGAGGCAAGGCGCAAGGCACGGCGAGGCAGAGGGCCATTCTGATGCATTGGTTTTACAACGCTGCACCCCACGCGACATCTATGCGAACCTCTGCAAAGCTCAGGTTGATATCGTAGGTCCCTCCGCAGCTTGTAAAGACCGTATTGTGTAGTTTGGAAGCTGGGACGAGCTCCGCCCGCGCTGCTTTCCCCTGTGGGTCTGGAGCTAGACGCATTGCCAGCTAGAGCCAGTTCTGCGGTGCGGTGTCGCGCTTTTTGCGATCCCCAAGCAACAGAACGCGCCTTTCCTCTTCCGATCCGTCAACTCGATTCCAGCTACTAGCAACATCACTAACGAGCTGTCTTGTCAGATTGCCGACGTCCAAACCCGCATGAGCACAATAGCGCGCGATCCCGAAGGAGGCTATTCAACATGGGAAAGCAACTGGATCTGGGACACCATCTGCGGTATCCCATCACCGTCAGCAAGCTATTAAAGGCGCCCGGCGATTCGATTAAGAAGCAGGAGCCGATTTTACAATACAAGTTCACCACCGTCCGAGAGGTAGGCGATCCGTTTGGCGAACAATGGAAGGAGAAGCAAGTAACCTTCGCCGACTGGGATAGTCCTTCAGATGGAACCATGCGCAAATGGAAGATACAGGAGGGCATGGTCATTGAGAAAAACATGATGTTTGCCGAGATCGAGGAGGATTGTCCCCATTCAATTCAATTCGCAGGCCTTTGTGGCATATGCGGAAAGGATATGACGGAAATGTCATGGGCTAGTGCCAAAAACGATACCGATCGAGCCAAAATCAACATGATACACGATCAAACCGCCCTCACAGTCAGTCAAGACGAAGCATCCAAGGCCGAAGAGGAATTACAGCGGCGTTTGTTGAGAGACCGAAAACTGTCCTTGGTGGTGGATTTGGATCAAACAATTATACACGCATGTATCGAACCGACCATTGGAGAATGGCAAGCGGACCCAAGTGCGGGCAATTATGAGGTCCTCCAGCAGGTCAAGTCTTTTCAATTGAACGACGACGGCCCTAGAGGCCTTGCTAACGGATGTAATTATTATATCAAAATGCGTCCGGGATTGAAGGAATTCTTGAACAAGGTTTCTGAGATGTACGAACTGCACGTCTACACCATGGGCACTCGAGCATACGCCTTGAACATTGCCAAGATTGTCGACCCAGACAAGAGATTATTTGGCGACCGGATTATCAGTCGCGACGAAAACGGTAACATGACAGCCAAGAGTCTAGCTCGATTATTTCCTGTGGATACCAAGATGGTTGTGATCATCGACGATCGAGCTGATGTTTGGCCCAAGAATCGAATGAACCTCATCAAGGTCCACCCCTACGACTTTTTTGTGGGAATTGGAGACATCAACTCGACATACCTACCCAAACGAGAAGAACTTCCCAAGGATGTTGAGATACCTAAACTAAAGCCATCGAAACCCATTGAGGCGGCCGCAGTGACCTCAGAGGGCAAGACTGATGGCATAGGCGCAACTCGTGTATCAAGCAAAACACCCATTGCCCCTACTGAGGGTGCAAAGGTTAGCGCTTTAGAAGAACTGGTACGTATGGGTGGCGGTGATGACCAAGCTTTGAGGCTTGAGCAAGCTGCCGAACAAGAGAACCTCTTGGAAAAGCAGATAAAGGAACGGCCGCTATTACATATGCAGGAGCAACTCGACAAGGAGGAAGATGAGGCAGATGATGAAGAGGCTAAGGAGGAAGTGAAAAATGGTGAGACTGTGACTGAACACCCTCATCACAAACACAACTTGCTCAAAGATGACGACATTGAGCTGATGTATCTGGAAAAACATCTCACACAGATCCACAAATCTTTTTACGAACAATATGACGGTGCGCTGGTTAATGCCCAAGGTGGGCGAATTGCACAGTTAAAGCCCAGCCACAGCAGAAAAGTTCCAATAAAGGAAAAGGCAGGTGATCTGAGCATCGTCCCAGATGTTGCAGAAGTCATGCCACGAATTAAGTTGTTGCCCCAGCTCTACTACTATATTAATTTACTGACCCTCGACAGAACCAGAACACTTGAAGGTTGTGTAATAGTAATGTCGGGTCTCGTGCCGTTAGGCGTTGATATTATGAGGTAAAATAACTACAAATCTTTCAAAAATCATCTACATTCATCTCCTTGGTGGAAATCGAGGTTTAAACATTTATTGGATGGGACTTACTTTTCAATATAGATCAGAAATCGCTCTGCAGGCAATGAGCTTTGGAGCAGTAATTCATTACAAGTAAGCTATAAACACCTCCGTTCTATAATCATGAGCAACGCTAATTATACCAGGGTCTCGAGCAAAGTTACTCACTTAGTAGCCTCAACGAGCCGAACTCGCACGACTAAAGTCAAGCAAGCAGCACGACGAGAGAAGATCAAGATTGTCAGTCAACAATGGCTCTTGAACTCGATGAGTAAATGGAAGAAAGAGGATGAGGGACCATATCTTGTACATGTCTCAGAATCAGACCGCAAGCGAGCAGCTGGTGAAGAAGGATCAAGTCCGCCATCCGATATGAATGAAACGGACGACAGTTCTGACGACGAAAGCGCAAGCAGCGGTGGTGAAGAAACGGACAGCATCCCCTCAAATAGTCAAGACATGAGTCTGGAGCTCGACGATCTTGCGCCCTCCGAGGACTACGATGAAGGACAGTCTCCTGTCGAGCAAATGAACAATTTCGATTGGAATTTAGCCGATGCGGAACTCGAAGCATTTATGGACGAATCCGACTCGGAAGCTAGCGATACGGCAAGCGAGATTAGCACGAACAGCGGCGATCGAACTCCGCGATCGGGTGAGAAGCGAAAGTATAACGATCGAGAGGAGTCGGTTGATTCGGATGGGGACAGTGACGCAGAGAGCACGCTAGCTAAGAAACAGAGAGTTGCGAATAAGAGGAGTACGGGGTTGAAGAGTTTAACTAGTGAGCAGAGTCTTCCAACACCGGGCCCGACGAACGATGGAGAAGGGGGTGAAGATGACGGTGCTAGTAAGGGGATTCAAGAGGACGATGAGGATGATGGTTTTGATTTGGAGAGAGAGTTGATGGAGCAGTTGGAGAATGCTGACTCGGATGGTGGTGGTTGATGTTCTTTTTTCCAGAATCCGACCTTTGTTGTTGCGATAACCTACGGCATACTACTACTCGGGCTCAACTTTCGATGGATATGAACCCTGGAGAGGTCTGTGATCTTTTTTTGAGATAATCTTTTTTCTCCTGGGCTTTTTTCTCGTCGGAATTACCTTCTTGTATCTACCTCTTTTTTTTTCTTCGATGCGGCGCCGTTTAGCGGGATTTTACGTGGTCTGAGGGTTTGCATAGCATGGCGTAGGGGACACGTTTTTTTATTTTGGACTTGTTGAGGGCAGGGCGCTGGGTTTTTTTTGTGAGCGAGAGGTGTTGGGTGTGAGGAGAGTGGGGGTTGGTGCAGGGAAGAAAGGGGGGGGTAGATGTATGTGTGTTTGTAGAGATGTGAATGCGAATCAATGATATGGATGAATACGGTGTAATGGGTTTTGGAGTCTATTTTTTAAATTTAATGAGTGAGTGGAGGGTGTAGGTTGGTTAGTGTGATGTAAGGGTAATGTAGTGAGGGGCGTATAGAGGTGGGATATGTGCATGTAGTGTAATGTAATGTAATGTAATGTAATGTAGTGTTACATTATACAGTACCTAGTGGATGTTTCGGTATTGGTGTTATTGTGATATGATGGGTAAGCTAGATACAGTATATACAGTATCGTGATTTTTATTACTGTAGTGATTTGGGTTGTTTTGGTGGTATGGTAGTTTGGTAGGAAGACTATTATGTATAGAATGTCCTGGAGATGGGGATCTGGTGAGGAAGGGAGGTAGGGGAGGGGAGCGGGATGTGTGGTGTATGATACTACGGGGCTTTTTACGGGGTTTGGGTACTATGGTGGGTTTTTATTGGATGGTTGTTGGATTTTTGAATTGTTGAATTGTTGACTTTGGTTTATTTGTAGATGGAGGGAGGGAGCAGGGACGGATAGAGGAGGGATGGTGGGTTGTGATAAGGGAGTGATGTGGGGTGTTAGTATAATACTATGTCTTTCCCAACAGGGGGTTGGGGAAGAAATAGTTGGGGTGTTGAGGTGTTGTTGTGTAATAGCTTTGGTACTGTATGGGTTTAATCAATGATGATGCTATGGATAATGGGATTTTGAGAGTCTTTCTTGTAATGCAGTTTTGGATGTTTGGATGTTTGGATGTTTGGGAGGTGTGGTGGTGTGTGTATATAGGATTGTTTTTTGGGGTTGTTTTCAAAGTTTTATATAGAGGTAGCTGGGTAGGGGTTGTAAGTACTAACTGAACTTGATATAAAAGAAGTTATTTGGCAGTAAGGTGGAATTCAGGATCATTGATGGAGAATGAGGGGTTTTTTGGTTGGGAGGTGGGTAGTAAAGGGGTTTAGTAGGTAGGTGGGTAGATAGAGAGATAGAGAGATTCGTGGTTTAGTGGTAGATTGGTAAATATAATGAGTGGGGGGTTGCTTTACCTAGTTAATTACCGTTGATTATTTAGAAAGTATTATTATCTAGGGGATGTTTTTATATCACGTGAGGACAGCAAACAACTAACAAGAGCTAGCGGCGGGGGTAGGAACCTTTAATAATTTCACATATCCTACCCTTAGAGTAGGATATATACGCTAGAGCCCTAGGGCTCTCTTTTTCTAGTTCTTATTACTTACTTCTCTTAGCTCTATTCGATTTACCCTTTCAACTAGCTAAGTACTCTAGTTTTAACGGAGTATTATTTACTTACCTTCGTTTACTTATACTAGAGGGGTAATATAGATATATACTCGTTACTTTAAGGTATAATACCTCTCCTAACCCAAGTGACGCTTCTTGTACTCCTACAGTCTACTCGGGTTTAGAGGAAGCGTAACCTCGTCCGTAGCTAGCTAGTCTAGAAGGGGGGAGGAGCGATATAAGTTTATAATACGAACGGTACTGTTATAACAACAAACTTTACGAGCAAGCAATTCAAATTCGACAAATTTGCTAGGCAAGGGGGGCTCTCCGGGTATGGTTTTGGCCTACATGGGTTTTCTATCCTTGTTATACAAATGTGAGAGAGGAGGATATTTGCAGGGCAGGCGGTGGGTATCCACTACACTTTCTACCCCTCCACACACACTCACACACCCGCACATATATGGACCCAGCACTCGCCTTGCGGAACCGCTCTCTCACCTCTCAACTATTCACTCCTTCGCTCGCGGCTTCGCAAGGCTCTTACTGGCACCTTGGGGCTCTCCAAACCCTAGGTGCTGGTCCCATACATGTGCCCTATTCTCCCTCGTGAGCACTCAGTACTGAGCAGGACGAACGTGTATGTAAAATTACAGTAAGACCTGGGGCGGATAATTACGTTAATTACATATCGAAGTTTCTAAATTTCAGCATGAATGACAACAAAAAACCTATGAGCATCTATAACATGTAGTTGAACTCTATTTATTGTTGGTATCGCGTACTCTCAAGCCCGTCCCAGTAGATATACATTTAAAAAACCATAAACAGCTCATCCACTTCATTTCCAAATGGCAACACATCGAACCTCAATACTCTCTCTTGGAGGGTCATTGACGTAATGTGGGTTCACTGCAGCAGTGTGCGCACATCTCCACCCCTTTTTATCCTGCTTGGTGTCTGTTCCACCAAAGATGACAATTTCATCTGGTCGCTGACGATGCAGATAATACCACTTGTGTGCGTTTTCCTCGCTTGGTTGTGCAATCAAATAGTTGCCCAGTATGAATTTGTGACCTTCAGGACCGACCTCGCGCTCAACCGGCAGGTAGTCTTCGTCGCGCAGAGATTGCGAGTCAGCAACAATTAGAGGATCACGGGTGATGGTTACACGTGGTTTCCAAGCTCCGTACATGGCCCAGCGAGAGGAGGACTCCCACATGTCTTTGATAGGTTTGGGAAGACTTGCGCCCATTAGCTTGGGGTATGCGTCCAAGTGCTCGCCAGAAAAGTCACAGTGTGGCTTAGTGGCAGGTCCATTCTTAGCAGGGTCGCCCATATTGGCTGGGTTGCTTTCGTCTAGAGACTGGGCAGCACTGCGATTGACGTGTTGGTACACAATGGCCAAGTCACATCCAGTACTTCTTCAATGTTAGCGATTGTGGTGAAAATTTGCGTTTCTGTCAACTTACACTTTCTTTACTACTTCTCCGACCTCCTTGTAGTATACTGATTTGACCCATTCCTCGTTGAAGAAATCCTCATCCTTCCCTGAGGTCTTCAGTTCCGTGAAGATAAATCCATTATCTGCGAGAGTGAACTGATCTTCTTTACCACGCAAATCGTGGACTATTGCAACTCTTGAATCATCGTCGGTTTTGCCGAATTGCTTTGGCTTAAGGGTTTCGTGTCTGAGTTTCTCCTTCTGTGGACTAAAGTAGTTGATAGGGGCCTCAAAGTCAAGAGGTTCGACGGTTAATGCGGGAGACATGTTTAAATGAGAAGTCTGATGTTGGTAAAGTCTGATGTTTGTGTGAGATTTTGCTGGTAGTTTGGTATTTGACTAGAAAGCTATCAGATGAGGAAACAGAGTACTATATGTACAAGATTCAAAATAGAGGTCCGACTCGTCCGATTTGAGTATACGTCCGATACCAGCATATCACCGCTTGTTCTGTCCGTACTGTATCCGAGTCTGTACGAGAAGGCTCGTTGCGTCGTAATAAAGTTGGGCTTAGCGAACTTTCCAAGCAGAGACAATACCCCGCAGATTGGAGGAACTCTCCAATCAAGAAGTTGATTTAGAGTCAGCCTTGTAGATCTTCAAGAAAACAATGTAGCTACCGATACTTTTCCAGGAAATTAACCGAAAATGTTATCGACGTTTTGCTACAAGTAAAATACTTGTCGAGAGGGTTTCTTTGCCGGCTGGATCTTAGAGCATTACAAAAATGCAGTTAACTCGCACGCCTAATAATTGGAAATGCCGAGCGAGTTTATGTTTCATTGTCTTAAAGCCTCGTTGGCTACAAGGTCCCTTTCTCCTGCTCGGTGAGCCGGTGTGGGCTGGGAGCTCCCGGAAATGGATAGGGGACGTGCCCCGATTTGTCTGATGTATACGAATATCTTGGTATAAAGGCCTCGAAAAGCCCACTCCCTGCCACGGGTGCTTCCATGCCAAATCGCATATATCCAATCCAGAATTTCCAACTGGTTGTCCACCTCAGCGCCAAGTACTAGCAGGCCCATAGGTAGCACTGCTGCGCTATCGTGGCGAGAGATGGTACTCGTACTCGTTCTCGCAAGCATGATGAGGATACGAAGCAGAAGCTGTGAGAGTGGCTGTGAGAGTGGGTGGATGGAACCTGGACCCAAGGGGTGAATTTGTAGTGGAAATAAGCAGTTTGCAGTCGTCCTTCGTAACACTTGGTACAATAGCAATCAAATCATCAGTCAAATCCAAGTTCTCTCTGTGAGCAAGTGTCGGAGAATTAGGCGGGACGCCCAAGGTTACTATGAAACTTGAATTATTCTAGTACGGCCTGTCAAAAATGCCATCTGCAAGTAGAGTACAAAAGCGACCGACCTATTATCCACCTCGGAAATGCCCCAGAAATAGGCTACCCAGAAAGCCCGCCCTACAACTCAATCCCAGAGGGTTGGAGTCAGTGCAGGACTTCTGCCAAGAGGTTGTACCTCGCGGCACACCTTAGCGACTCTTGGTAGGTACAGTAACGTTGTTTACGTACACCTGGTGCGTATGTAATGCTTAACGGTCCCCTGCCGAGATTTAAGACTCAGGTCCATGTTCTTATCTATTCTGTGGCAGAGATGCTGCCTTGTAGACTGTACTACCACCAATGCGATACCTGGATACAAGGATCGTCCTCGGTTGTATCCTTAAATTGTGGGTCCCGATTTAGAAGGTAAGAATTAGAGGATAACCTTAATATAAGGAGCATCCTTAGAGTTTTAGAGGAGAAGTACAAGACACCTAAAGTGAACCACACTAAAATTAATATCTCGTCCTTAGTCGAAGACATGAAGCTCGCTTATTAGCTCTATATATACTTTTTTTTCATAAGCGGGATAGAGTAAGGAGACTAAAAGAATAGGATTATACTTACTAACACATTTATATAAGCCTTAGTTAAGGCTAATTATAAGCAATTAAAAAGGTTCTTCCAAAAACAGGGTTACATATTACTTAGTACTATATTATATCTCTAGTATATAAATATACGACCTTATTATCGCCTGTGCCAAGACCCTCGTTATAAGGATAACCTTGGTTATATATTTTGAGTTTCGGCCCCTAAGTATATTGTATCAAGAATCTTTTATAAACCAATTAGATAACCCTAGATTCTTTGTTAAGTTTTCTTTACTCTCTTTTCCTTCCTTACGAAGCCGGGTTAGTTCAAACGCCGTTAGGCTTATATGCTTTATATATCTCGATATCTTCGATAACCTGTTCGGACTCTTTCGTATAACCGCCGACACTAAAAACGAACACAAGCCTCCGCCCGACCTGCCACGCAATGGCAACGCTATGGGAAGTGAATATCGGACTTCTAGGTACTTTATCACTGTATCAGGATGTCTTCCTCTCTTAAGATACCGTCCAATACATGATATTTTTTACAAGGGTTTGGCGTCTTGGGACTTTGGAAATACAGTATCTTGGAATCGTAGATCGGTGGCTCGCTTTCCCCATGTTCAACCCCGCACTGAGAGGCCCTCTGGTGGGGAATTTTGCAGCTTTTATATAGAATAATATTCATACTTGTTCAAAAGTTTTCTGACTGCATGAACTGTATCCGTCTCTCTTGCTACAATCTTATGTAATGTGTGACAGGTTTCTAGGCGTACTACTGAGGCTGTGATAAGATACGTATACATAAATCAGAAACGCAATGAACTCCCTGTGGTTCTCCAGATGTACATCATTCAGCCGTAATAAAGTTTGAACTGGGTCAAAAAGACTAAAAAAGACGAAGAGAAAGAAAGTCACAACTATAAATAACTGTTGAAAGAAACGACGAGATACGCAAGTCAAACAGCCTCGCCAGTACTTTTTATAGCGTGTACAGAATTATGACCAGTACAGATAATCGACAAATTTATTCACACAATCAACTAATACAGGTCTCACATTCAATGCCCAATATTCCGCAGTCTCTGGTTAGTAATCCCCATAATAATCTCCCATAGCTCTTCAAACATTGATCTGCGCATCACTAACCCAATGACTCCCTCCCGCACACCTATACCCCCACTCTGCTTAATCCACCTAAACCCAGCGACACAAACACCCATCTGCCTCAACTTCTGCTGCGCCCTCTCCTCCTTCTTCCTCCTCACCATCTCCTGGATTTGTCTCTTCTTAATCTCGTTCTGGATCCTCTCTCTTTCTGCTCTCAACTCTACTTCCCGAATTCTCGCTTCTTCTCGCTTACGAAGTAATTCGTTGGCCTCGGCTTCGTCTTTTGCTTGTTTTTCTCGTAATGCGGCTGCAAGTGCCGCAGCTTCTTCTTCGGCCTTTTGGGCGAATTCTGCGGCTTTCTTTCGTTGGCTTTGAGATTCTTCGAACTGATGGTTGGCTAGCTCTGCGAGCTTTTTGTCTTTCTGAAGTTGTTCCCACAGGTGGCATCGGAGACGCCATCATCGCGGGTATCTTCGGTTATTGGAGGAGGCAGTCCTTGCGGTTCTTCAGGTTCATCCTGGTCTGTTTTTGTCTCTGTCGCTGTAGATTTATTGAAAACTGGCGCAGAAGCCTCTGGTGAGAACTTCTGAGCGGCGGCGCTATCATCAGGTAATGCTCGATGTCCGGGCTTTGTGACCTGCCTAGCTAGACGATCAGACAACATCTCGTCAATACACTGAAGTGCAAGCTCAGAGGAGAGAATAAGATGAGCCTTCTTCTCGGTATTATTCGCGTAGACCGCTCGCACCATGCTCTTTGCCAGAGTTTGCACATCCCTTGCATTTCCCCATGCAGGAAGCTTTGAGAGTTTCGCCAGAGTCATCAGAAATCTTTGACGGATGGTAGTATCTTGCATACCAGGACACGAGATAGTGCTTTCCTTGAGCTTCGCCTCAAGTAATTGGAGGCAATTTGTGGGATCGAGAGGTGGAAAGATAAACTCGTCCGCGAATCGACTGCTTAGTCCTTCGTTGACTCTAAGCAAACGATTCATGTCCTCGTCGTACCCTGCAAGAATGATGACCATCTTTTGAACGAACTTCGGTTTGGTCATGGTATCGACTATCTCGTCTATTGCTTCCTGCGCAAAATGTCCTTCGCCGAGGCGATATGCCTCATCAATGAACAGCACTTTTCCGAGACCTCTCTCGAGTTGCTTGATTACTTTTGGGTCTGTATGACCGAAGTACTGGCCAACTAAGTCAGTCGCTGAACACTCGACTACTTCGACTTGTGAGAGAAATCCAAGATCATAATAGACTTGGCCAATCTTCCGTGCGGTGGTCGTCTTTCCGGTACCTGGATAAGCCAATGTCAGTCTAGAATTCAGCGTGGGAAATATATTAAACTCTTACCTGGAGGCCCCTTGAAGATAAAAGCCATCGGAATTTGACCTCTTGGATCAAGGCCTTGAGCACTCATCCCCTTCGCAACCCTCAGAAACTTACTAAGCTTCTCAACAATTCCCTCACAACCAATCACACCCTTAAACAATTCGTGTAGATTTGTTTCTGCGGAAGCAGCTCGATTGTAGTCCGGATCGAAATCTTGAGGCTCGAAAACAAAATCAATGGACCTCTCCTCGGCAGGTAGCTTGGATTGGCGAAGCTGGTATAATCCTTTGGCTTTTGAGATCAGGTTCTCAACATCGCCACCATTTCCAAAGTTCAACCCATTCCTCAATCGGGATAGGACATCGATGGCAGTCGAAATGGCGGGTGATGTCGCGCCAAGTCCTTGGGTTTGGAGTTTCCATAGAAGTATCTCTTGCAATTCCGAATCGGTAAAGTCGTCAAAATGGAATGCCTCTGAAAGTTGAAATCGTCGGGTAAGTCCTGGATTGACATTCTGAAAGAAACGACGCATTTCATCCTCGTACCCTAGCAATAGAACACATCGATCCTCTCCCGGTACACTTTGGACTTCGGCAACGATAGTATCAATGACTGCCGTCTTGAGGGAATCGCTCCCTCCATTCCCGTCACTGCCTCCAGAACCAGAATGAAGCATATATGCCTCATCCATAATGAGGACCTTTCCAATGCTGTTGTTCAAGATCGCTTTCGTATTAGCCTCTGACTGGCCAAGTACGTTCCCAATAAAATCGGCGGGGTCTTTTGCCACCACTATGTTTTACCATTTATCAGTTCTCTGATTTCAACTTGCAAACGATGCAAGTCACGAGCTTGACTTACCTTCTCCATTACTAAGCAAACCAAGATCTGAGATTATTCTGCCATATAACTTAGCGACAGTGGTCTTTCCGGTACCAGGTGACCCGAGGAAAACGCGGTTGAGAGAGACTTGGACTGGCTCTTGCTCCTCAAGCTCTCTCTTGTAGTTAGTCTTAATGAGATCAATCAGAAAGCTAACCGATTCTTTGACCGTTTTAAGGCCAGTCAGCTTTTGAAGCTTATCCCAAGCAGTACAATGGAGGATTGCTTCCGAGGGATCCGGACCGATAAGGTCTTCTTTGGAGATATGGAAATCATTGGGGAGTAGACCCTGCCTCCTCTCCTTTGATAGTCTGTCAGCCTGTCGCTCGCGAATTCTGCCGAACATGTTCTCCAGAGCTCGTGCATTTCCAAACCCATCTTTTCCTCTCCCTCTTCCGAGTCTCTTGAATGCAATACGCATAAACAACCCATTCGGCCCGTCTTCGATGCTGATTCCGGTTTTCTTGAAGAACTGATGCATCTTCTGCTGCAACATGCTTAGGAGTTCTGCATCGGTATAGTCTTCGAAATGAAGTGTATAATTTATCCTAGAACTGAATCCCGGGTTATGCTCGAAGAATTTCGCCATGTTGGAACGGTATCCAGCAAAGACGAACACGACCTTCCCAGTCAAATTCTCAATCTCGGCTAGGAGCAAGTCCAGCACAGTTTTACCACCATGAGAATGCCCTTCTGCTAATTGATAAGCCTCATCGACGAAGAAAACTCCTCCTTGGCTATTTTCGAGGTTCTTGAAATTTGACTGAACCTCTGAAACCCCGCCGTGGGCTAACTTAGATCCAGTCGTCTCGATGAATCCGTCGCCAGGGAGAACTTGGAGGGAGGACAGAACCTTGGCGTAAAGTCGTGCAACCGTTGTTTTCCCTAAAGCGATTAGCCAGTGATCTATTCTCAAACATGAACTTTATATACCTGTGCCCGGGTTGCCCAGTAGGACCAATCCTAAACGCTCCTTTTTTAGGTCGGTACCTTGTCTGATGGCAGTTTCAACCTTTGCTTTTATACGCAGTACTTGGGATTTGACATCCTCCAACCCAATCATATCCATGATGGCATCTATGGCTTCATTACTAGCGTTATCTTGGTCTTTTTGGCGCTGCCATTCGGTCTTGGCACTCGATTTGTTATGTGTCAGGCAATCTTTGAGACTTTCCACCAAGGCACTGGAATTCACAGATGTGGATTTTGCGCCAGGTTTAGATAGATGTGGCTGTTTGGAGGGCTGCTTGGGAGGTTCTTGAGATGATTGTTGATGGTCGTTATCAGAAGGAACCCTATTGTTTTGAGGTATTGATGTTTGCTTCTTCGCAAGTTCCTTGGCCGCTAACAGATCCTTCTTTTTTTGTTCGAGAATAGCCGCATGTTCTGCATTGATCTGGAGATCCTTCATACTCTGTGTGACCTCGTCAATATGTTCTTGTATCTTTGCAACTTCCCTAAGATGCTTTTGCTGCTTCTCTTCTCTGCGAAGCTTTTCTTCCAACGCTTTTTGTGCCTTCCTTTCTGCTGCACGACGCTCTCTCTCACAAGTTGGACATGCTGTAGGAGGTGCTCCAGAATGACAGTACCATTGTTGGGTGTGACCATTAGGACATTTATCCTTTATAATCATCATACACTTCATCTTGGAGTGATCAACAATTTGATGGCAACTGGATGGACATTTATGAATGCCGCAGCTGAGTATCGCTCCACTTGTAACAAGAAATTAGCCACTCATCTATTACTGCAGAGGAGAGAGGGATTACCATGGTTCTTTGCATCCACCGTCGGGGCAATTGGCATCGAAATCATCCGACGACCTTAACAACGCTACACGTGTGGGATGTTTTTCGCACTTTACTGGAAGCCCTTCGTAGATATGACCATTTTCTCTCAAATGGCCAAATACCTCACGCCAGACTTCTTGTCCTTTCCGAGCGTTGAGAAAGGTTTCTGAATTGCCCAAAATTATCATTCCATTTCGAGCTCGGGAGAGCAAGACGTTGACTCTTTCAAGTGCCGACATGAATCCTATGTCATGAGAGTTGTTGCTTCGGGTCATGGATATGAGAACAATGTCACTTTCTTCTCCTTGGTAATTGTCTATTTTCTTGTCAGTATTAAACTATGAATAAGTATCCTGGGCCATACGGACGAAAGTTAAGCCACTCCAACGAAAAATAAGACAAAAGCTTGTGGACAAGTGAAAAGCATACCAATAGTAGATATTCGAAGACGGGGCCCAGAAGTCTTTGAACCCAAGTCCGCAAGAAGTCCAGCACGAATAAGATCAAACTTGTCCATGTCGTTCAACACGGGATCATTCTCCTTGGAGAGCTCTTCGCGTAATAGTTTCAACTGCCCACCATAAGGTGTCAAGACAACCAGCTTATCTGAGCCATATCCCTGTTGAGCAAGATATCGAACACATTTGAGAATCATCTGCGCTTCGAAGAGGTTTTGTTTCGATGCCGTATTCCCATCTCGCAACTCTCGACCGCGGGTCATGACTAGTTCTGGGGAGGTATGATGAATGAAGACGAGATTATCCTGTAGGCCCCTAATATCATCACGGTTCTGCGTCGAGGTTGCATCTGTGAGATCCGGATATGTTAAATGGCGTACTATCGAAGATATTTCTGGTCGCATTCGGTGCTGCTCTGTGAGAGTTACATGTGGAAAACCCTTGAGAACCAGCCGTTAAAAAAGTGAGCGATTGAGGTCAAACCCATCTCCTTGCTCAACACTCAGTGGATACGAACACTTGGGACGAAGTTGCTTATGATCTCCTATCATGATTAGCTGCTCGGTACTCTTGCCCATGGCAGTCAGGATATGCGCTTCGAGTATCTCGCCAGCTTCTTCAACAAGAACAATACCAGGAGGCGCCGACTGAATATCTTGGGCATATTTTGCTGCACCATTCGTCGTGCAAGCAATTATTCTCTTGCTTTTGATGATACTGGCATCTCTCTGCGCGAAGACTTTTGTCAAGGGCAATCTGTTCATCATTGAAATCTTTCCCTGCTTGTTGAATCTCACGAACAATGTCTTCAAGGATCGCATTTCTCCACATTTCCACGGTAGTTCTACGTGTCTCCAGATCCATGTTCCAAATCTGTTTGGCGGACCTTGGCTGTAGATGTTGTAATGATCCGGCATCTTTCCCACCTGTTTGCCAGCGATCCAATAGGTAAAAGGGACTCATGGCTTTACCCCGTTTACCGACCCTAGTCATACCATTTTCGTTGTTCAAAGGAACAGTAAAGGCATCGAACCAGGACTTATCGTCAGACAGAAATTCAAGGTAGTCCATAATCTGCTGCTTCTGAACGTTCATGGAATGATAACGACCAAAGCTGTCCCGCAGTCGACTCTCGTGGTATTCCAGGGTTTTTTTGAGTTCGTCTATCCTTCGCCAGTGTGTAGTGCCGAGTCTGACAGCTGTTTATTCTCTGATCATAAGAGGACGTGTGCGCTCGGTGCTCTTTCCTCCAAGACGACCCATGTCCTCGGGAGGAATACCAATATCGAGTAAATCTTCGAGGAATTGATCGAGAGCATGATTTGTAAAACAAACAACAAGAATAACTTGTTTGGTATGGTCGTGGAGGGCCTTGGCAGCTAAAGCACCAACAAAGGATTTACCAGTGCCTAAACAAAATGTTAGTCAATCGGTATCATGTGTGATAAGGCGTGTGTGCTACCTGGGGGACCTTGTATAGCACTGATGCGTTGACTAATGCAAGCGAGAAGAGATCTCATCTGAGACTCGTTCAATTTGACACTCTTCCTGGTGCCTAGTATTGATTGGAGATCTCTCCCTTCCCTTTGCCGCAATTTTAAGTCTCGGATCAAAGTGACTGGCTGGAATGTTGGCCCATCAATTATACCAGTGTCACAAGCGAGTATTTCTTCCGCCAATGGAATCCTTCTCATCTCTTGGAGTCGATTCAAGAAGGGAGAATAAGAGAATATGACAGTGTCTAGTTGAACAAGACGCATCAGCTTTGCATTCTTCAGCTTCAGTAAGAAATACGGAAGTGTGGTATCGTTCTGGAACTGTAGTATAACGATCGAGGGGTCACGAGCCAGCTTTTCTTCATCCCGAAATATTGTCGGAAACGCCACGGGCTCATTATCTAACAATACACATGCAATATTTCCATGCCGAAGGATATGCTTGTTGTCCTTTAAGTATGACTTGCGATTCTCAGGCTTCAGATTCTTGAGTAGAGGGATATGGGTTTGGAATTCGATGGCCCAGGGGGCCCTCTTGCGCTCCGTTCCCAGCTCCAGTCCTGCGACTCCTTTGATATCCAAAAGTGTACCTCGATGGCGACCGGCTTTTTTCCCAGTCAATATCATGAGCTCTTCTCGAATCTCGCCAAGCATATCTTCTCTCAGCAATCGAAACTGGTTGTCAAGATGGATTTCGCCTCTTGCCGAAACATCCTTAACATCCTCGAGATATTGAGGAGTTCGGAGATAGGGTCGGTCATTTGACAGGAGCTCATCTGCTGTGGGTAACAGAGATATTTTTCGATGGTCTTCGTGATCGTTGTCATGTCTTCCTCCAGGTTTGTCCACGGTACTGTCGTATATACCTGACAGTTCGAGTGGTAAAGCATGGCTGATTTTCTGACCGAGATTCCTTGTGTGTCCATCTTGAGCCTTCAAAATTCCATCTAGAATGCCGGGAGATCTTGCAAATATAGCATAACCCGATGAATTAATTCCTGGTAGCGTGATTAATTGAAGAAGGAGCCATGCGAATCCTTGACAGATCTCTTGACCTAAGGTACCATCTCGAGAACATTTGACTATAGCATCCCAAAAGAATGGCGGCTGCACGATGCTGAGAATTATCTTGGCGAGAATAGCTCCGGATTCAATGACCGCCAGCTCAGGGTTCTGTAGGTACTTGAGAAGCTCGACCGCATGGCCGTTGAGAAATGAGGGTGAAGTGTCGAATCGAACAGATGATTGAATAGAAGCAAGACCCTTATCACTCGAGATAAGCTGGTGGATGCAGGACGCAGCATCTTCCTGAACGCATATAGACTCTATAAAGAGGTTTCCTTTACGGGAGGATTTCAATGGTTTTCGTCCATGATTTACATCAGCAAAAAGTCGCTTCAGCCTATCAATACGAGCGACAGATATCGATGAGGAAGGATAAATTCTTTGGTAGATATATCAAGATGAGCAAACCGAAGCAATCTTTTGCGTAAAAAATACCATGTAAGGGATTCGTTTCCTGAGTAAATTTTGATGTGAAGATGTCGAGCTGCGCTCAAGCTCAAGACGATGGAAGTCTTTTTGGCAAGCTGATTGTTTCTGGATAGTTCTAAATCTCAATTATCCGTTTGTTCAGTATGTTGCGTTGTCAGGCTACCTCTGAGGTCATGTAGAAGCCCCTAGAACTGGGCGATTGCATATGCATGACCTGTGAAACAATTTGATACGATAGGAGAGTTTGTGTCTGGAGCCTTGCGGCATTCATAAATTAAAATGTGAGTCTTACCAGTAGCCTTATCAATATGACAGTAGCTCTCCATGAGTATTCAATACGGCAGTACCCAAACAGCCTCACTACTCTCTTTCTTACATATGTGGTAGACCGACCTTACACCCCTTCACCTAACACGTGAATCTCCTGGGTTTTGAAGGATTAATTTGATTGTTCCAAATACATAGCAAAATCGCAGATTAGTCCATATGTTTGAGATAATGAAAATAAATTTTTGGGTATTTTATCACGCGATGTCCAGTATGTTCAACCCTTTCATCGGGGTGGATCACGTAAATAGTGGCTCCGCCTAATTCAAGTATCTTACATCAAAAAACCCTGGCAGCATCACAAAAACCCCAAATAAACCTCATTACATCAATTACTATCCTCTAATCCCTAATCCCCAATCCATGCCTGTCTGTCTACGTACGTATATAACCCCCCACGGCATAGACCCACCCCACTCACTTCTCCAAGCCCACTCAACCCCCAAACCCAATCAATCCCAAGACTGCCTGCCTCGCCATTACCAAATCTCTTTCCGCGATTCATCCATACCTACTCATCAATGAAATACAAATTATCATTCCTTCATGCAAGTCATTCGTACCTAGTACCTAGTAGCGCGCCGACCCATCCTAATGCCTAAACTCGCACGCACGCTCATGATCCAAATGCCTCGCCTGCTTCCAGAAAAAACAGAAAGGGAACAGAAAATGACAAATAAAACAGAGAGTCGTAACCAATGTCTATTAGAAAGCCCCCCCAGATTAGAAAATCAATCAAGTCGACGTCCCCGAAGAATCCCCCGTCTTCCCCCGCGTTGTAAGACTCTCCCAACCCTGAATCTTCTTCAATAAGTCGGGATCATTACCGTCGCCAATGAATGTCCAACTCTCCTCTGAGTCCTCGGGAGCATCATCAGGAATTTTGCCACTGCGTGCCTTGACGAGGTCTCTCGCGTACTCGAGGTCGCGGTAGATGGATTGAATAGCCGTCTGAACTCCATCTTCCTACAGCATTGATTAGTATCAACTACAAAAGGTACAGATAGAGTAAACTTACAGATCTGATGGCTTCACCTAGTCGTCTGGCCTTGACAATCATCCTTTCGCTGTTGGTCGCTTCCCACAAAGCACGCGCCAAGAGACTGACATTGGTCTTCTTGATGGTGATACCTACGCCCAAGTCCTCGACCCTGGTTCCAAAGAAGAATTGATCCCCAAAGAAAGGTTTGATGATGGCGGGGATGCCAGCTCGGAGACTAGCGCCCGTTGTGCCAGAACCACCGTGATGAACTGCAGCATCAATTTGTGCGAACAGCCAATCATGTGGAACTTGCTTCACGAGATATATCTCGGGTGGAAGCGGTATTTCGACTTCGGTAGCTGCCTTTTTGTCCAAGCGGTCAGACCATCCTTTCGAAAGAATGCACCTCACATCAGCTTTCAGAACAGAGGCAACCACGGTCTCGGTGAGAGCCTTGGAGTCACTGACGACAATGGATCCAAAACCTATATAAACAAGCTTCTTACCGTCATCGCGAGCTTTCTTGATGAAGTCTGTCAGTTCTTTCTCGGGAGTATAGTCTTTCCCGCCTTCATCCAAGAACCAGTATCCTGTAACCCGGATCCAATCGCTAAAATCAAGCGGCGGTATAACGACCGAGGGACTGAATGAGTACAAAAATGGGACTTTGTTCACTCCCAGTCTTTCTGGACTTGTCGACTGTAGCCCAAGTTCCTTCTTCCTCCATCTATTAATTTGCCCAGCAGTTGCTGTCCAAAATACGAAGTCGAATAATACGTAAGTTTGCCAGTTGTAGGTACCACCCATTTTGTAATCTGGTACAGCAAACGCATGTGGGTATGCCCGGGTTCTCGTCCATGGCATGGAGAAAGCTCTATAGTATGGTATCCCTAACGCTTCAGCAACGTGAATACCCCCCATTGCGCTTGGACTTTCGATGAGAAGATCTGAGCCCTGGCAAGCTCTCCAAGAAGTTGACAGTAATTCATCGATCCAACCACGAAATTTGCTGCTCGCCTCTCTGAAAAACGACATGGTAAACATGCCATTCTCAACGCATATGCGCATGAGTTCTGCAGGATCGCCTGCAACTGGTTCAAATTCGATACCGTGGCCTAAAATCCAGTCCTTGAATTCGAGGTGGGTAGCGATCCTTGGTTTGTGACCATCTTTGATTAGCCCTTTACACAGGGCGATGTAGGGTTGGACATCACCTCGCGAACCGATGGTCAAGCAAGTGATTCGTAACGACTGCGTAGGCTTGAAGTTTAATATGGAAGCACGAGGGTCATCGAAAAATATTGGCGGTGCTTCGCCGCTAGATTCATCCCCAGTGTTTGGAAGAACGGTATCCTGCGATAACTGCTGCAGCCGTGCTTGCTGGAGTGCCTTGTATTCGGCACTAGCAATATCGGCGTCCTCTTTTTCCTCGGATGCCAAGATTCCGGATTCTTGAAGATACTTGATCGTACCTATATTCTGTAGTAAAGTGATGGTACAATCATCTCGGAGATCTGCTGGTTTGAACTCAAAAAATAGTTCCTCGTGGCCCTTGATAACGACAACCAACCCAAACCAGCCGAAGCGGGAACCTTTTTCCTTGACAGCATTCTCGATGTCTTTTAATGGAAGAATCAACTTGGTACGTGTAAAGAGACTTCGGAAGCAGAACGACCGATTGCTGATATAAATCTTCCCGTACAGTGGAAGTACTCGTTGTAGGCAGCCAAAGTAGGATGCTTGGAGTACTTCTGTATCTGGCAGTGCAAAATGTTTGCGGAAGTTATCTCCAGATGCGGCAGCTTCCTCTTCATCCACGGTGCCATATGCGTCATCATCTGGAGCCATGCCCGGCGGCATATCGTAATGCTTCTTTCCTCCTTTCCACATCCCAGAAACCTTCTCAACGTAGCCCATCGATTCCGTCGCCAACAATGTGCTCATGCGTTTTGAGTGCTTGTTGAGGTACCCAGCAAAGCCTGCTGCGCGTTGCAATGGGTATGCACCTGCTTTGACGAGGGTTTGGAGTGATGGGCCCGAGGCACTTTGTTCGGGTTGACCGGATGATGAACCTGTTACAGAACCAGTCGTAGCGGCGTGACGTGGTGAAGGTCTTTTGCTCGACATTTCATTTGGCGGTGATTGGGATGATGAGTCGTCGTCCTGATCTCGGCGACGTGTTGCAGATGATGATCTCTGAATAGTCGGTGACAAGAAGACATCACTGCCTCGAAGGATTTGACTTGCTGAAGCCTGTGTCTCGTCACTGGTCGAATGTATCGCAGCAGATGAACCACGATCCTCTAGTGAATGTACAAATGAATCAGAAGAGCCTTGCTTTTCTGAAGCCCGCCTCTCGCCAAGGCGATTTCTACTTAAGCTTCTTCGACTGGTGCTCAGACTACGCCTGCCTGTATCCATCGCTCTACCTAAATCTACACTTCTTCGGCCAAGCTTTGAAAGGTCCATACTCCGTCGAAACACCTCGGAGCTCGCCCTGCTAATATCTCTACTGGCTCGAGGGCTTAAGGGAGCACGTGTTGGGGATAGAGTAGCCCGCACCCTTTCTTCTAACATTGGGGCATTGGTCTGCAGTGGTGCAGGGGCTGCTGGTCGTGATTCCCGTGTCGGTTGATGGTAAGAAGGGCGTCTAGAAGTACTACCTCTGGAGCTCGATTTATCGGCCGTAGGAAATTGTGGACTAAGAAGACTCTCCGGTATTTTTTGAGCAGTAGTATCTTCAACCAAAATTTTCAGCACATTCAAAGCTTCTTTGCCAGAACTAAAGAATGAGAAATAGTACTAGAGGCGACGTCAGTACCAATAAACGTGCACCACTAAAAGAACCAACTCACCTCATCCATTGCATATGTATCTTCACTATCGATGACCTTGATTTTACATGTATCCGCAAAACCAATGATCGGACTGTCATCAATGTCAATAATATTTGCAATCGGCAAGGAAATCTTGACGCTGTCGCCATCATTATGTGACCGGAAAATTATCTTCTGTAGTGATTTTACCCACTCCTTTGCGCTTGGGATGCTGTCGGCCTTGAAATTATAGGTTCGCTGATTAGTCACGACGGTAAAATGAGTTGCATCTCTCCCAGAAGCTTTCTCCGCGACATTCGCCGAAATACCATAACGCAAGTCAATTTGTCCGGAAGGAAAGTATAAATCTGCAGGATTCAAAAAGTATGACAAGACGTCCCCTTTGAGCCGAAACCAGTATCTATTGTACTTCGGATTTCGTTTCCCGGACTTTGAGAGGTATCCGGACTTGGCAACTTCGTCCTAATAGCTGTTAGCAGAATTTTGCGTAATCATCCGAGGTGATTGTTCGTACCGATTTCTTTGGTAGAAGGGCAAAGAAACAGATGTGTTTGGAAGTGATGTACATATATCCTTGTAGTAATACACCCTGCAGCAGCCAACAAGGATATTCTTGTTCGAAAGTTAGCATATCCCGATGCCGTGAAAGTCTCGACATACCTTCTATCACATCTTCCGGTTTCTCAAAATCAAAAATCTCCATCAGCCGCCGCGCCAAATTGCTTGCGTTCTTGTCCTCATTATCTTCCTCCTCGATATTGTCTGGGCGGAATAAGTCGGAACTTGGTCTCATGGCCAACTCCGCTTTTGCCTCTAACATTCGGCTCATGACTGGAGCTTCTCGCGAGGCTGTTCGGGGGAGTTGTATGGTACGGGGGGTCGGTTCGGAGGGAGTCTCTGGTTCGGGAGAGCCAGTACTCGTTGTTCTTGTGGAGGTTCTGGACGATTTTGACTTTGATCTCGTTCCTAACCCAGACAGAGACCGCAGCAACTTATTCTCTGAAAACTTCCGCAGGTGATGCTTTTCCGGCTTACTCGCTTTCTCTGGATCTTCCGGTGCCTTTTCCTGCCTTCTTGACTTGTTCGTCTGCAGGCCAGCGCTCCGCGAGGGAGGTATCGCAGATTCGTCATCTTCGTCGTCGCTGGACGGTGGATTGAATCGGGAATTGAAATCAACCTGCGAACGGCTGGCGTTGGCGATCATGCCTAGCAACGACTGGTTCATGAAGGCGTTTCCCCCTTCTACCGGCGGTTTCGTGAAGTCCATATCGGCATCATCACCATCTCTGAATCGTTCCGGAATCTCCATGGTGACATGGTGACCTTCCCTTCTTCTCTTGGTCAACTTGCGGGCGACCTTGCTCTTAACATCGCCATCTTGAGGAGACATGGCGAGACGTTGGCTACTCCTATGCAGAACACGTTGATCGGGTGCGTGGATGAGGGAGGGTTTGTCCTCTCGGATGTCGTCTTTTTTGAGGCCTCTTGCCTTGCGGTCCCTTATCGAATCGATAAGAGTTTCTTGGACGGTCGTTTAGCAAAGTCCGAGCTGGGCATCACATGCGCACTTTTGAGAAGGTGTTGCTGGAAAGGAGGAAGAGGCAGTGTCGGGTCAGGGTTTATACATGTTGCACCTGAGCGATGGTGAATGACTGACTGCTGGCGAAGCTCTGGACGTTGAATAAATGACTCTGCGGCCATAGGGTAGAGATGGGATGAGGTCAAGCACCTGCAGGGACGTTGACCTAGTTCACCTAATCTGGAGCGATCTGCGGGTGAGGCCGACCAGACCGGGAGCCAAGCTTTTCCGTCACTGTCAGCCTAACTAGCCTGAAGGCTATTATTCCCTCGACCTACAGTGCAAACTGCTGCTGTTGATCACTGGTACAGATCTGTCTCTGTCATAGTTGGATTGCTTTTCTCTATATGTTTATATATAGGGTGTTAATATACGACGGGGAGAGCTTCACCGGGCAGGTACCCGGACAGCTCATTCTGTGGGGAAGTGGATCCTGGCATCTAGGTTCCATCTTTCCCAGTATCCAGGATGAAAGCTGTCAGGATCCCATTTAAAGAATCCCATATTCCTAGTTGAAGATCATCTATACTCTTTTATTGCCATGGAAATTTCCTTTTCTGGGTGTATATTTATCTTTCTATCAGTTTGCCAATGTCTTTGCCCTTGAAGTTACCACATGATCAGAGTTACAATTATGATGTCATTTCAAGCCAGACACACAGTTGAGAAAATATTTGTCTATACTTCCCAAGACAAACGACAAGAAAACTCGTACCTAGATATAATCCGAAAATGCTTAATACAGCTACTGCAGCTTTCATCTTCTTGCGGATGAAGTTGACTGGTAAACTCCTGTGGCGAAGTTTTGAAGATGGAACTAGGACGAGTCACAACTTATCAACAAAAGAGTCACTTGATACAGGAACAAGTCACTAATCACAATACCACACAAAATAGCGCTTAAAGCGCTATGAAATTGTTTTATGTTATGAGTAATCTTTTCTGCTCATATCTTCGCCAAACACCTAATAACAAATCGACTATCTAAGCGAGAGTGTATACTCAAAATATCGGAAGGTATCCATTTCCAAGTATTTCACAAATAATACAATATCCTCAGAAGTAACTTCTGAATAAATATATAATCAATTTACTTAAGAAAATTGATGAAGAATAACTCATAACCCGCATTCACAGTCCCCAGCTCCAACCCCACAAAAGCATTAACTACGCTTGAGTCCAACTTCTATAAAGCCACAACACACTCCACATTCACAGCCTCCCAGCCACATTCTAAGATTTCGAACAGATGATAAATTCACTGCTATGCGCCGCCTCTTCTCATACTAGATACCCATACCAACCCTACCAACCCCCTAAACAAAAACCCTTGTAATAAGCCAACCCAAAATCAATTCCTATGCCAAGACCTCTGTCTTAGAATAATCTATTCCAAGTTTTCTTGTTTTACTGTCGATATCCGTCTTGCTGTCGAATCTCTCCTCTTGTTCGAGTTAGTATAATATGGTAGGTCATTTCCTGTCAGTTAGGAAGGTGGCGTTTTGAGTGTTTTAGGTGAGTAATTGGGTTCCGTGGATATCATGTGCTGGGATTAGGAAGAAGACTCAACAAGCTCTTCGAAAATAGCCTCGAAATGATACCTGCTTTGGCGAGGACTTATGGTGGAGACTGAGAGCGTGTCGCTTTATAGGGTCTATGAGTGTGCAAATACCGGTGCAAAGTACATCTCTAATTTTAGCCCTAAGCTCTACTAACCTGGATCTATATTTCGACGCAGACTCATTGAACCATATAACCCCCATGATATTCTCCCCGATGAAGTTACTAATGTTCAAACGTCTGATATCTCTCATGTTCATTCGGACTGGGCTTTCTGAATCTTGAGGATGTTTTGTTGTAAAGACGTAGCTATGAAGTTATAATCTCCATGCCCCTTAGGTTTAATTAATTCAAGTAGAAAAACTCTTCTCTTTTCTAAAAGGTTAGTCTTTTTGATGATGGGGCAGGGATAATGATGGAATCTCAGTACTCAGACTCCTCAAGTATGGTGAATCAGTGATAAGGCGTGTCTAAATTTCTCTTTTTATCCCAGATCGATACCTACATCTCAGTACGAGAGTTTCTAAAAATCGCTGGAGCCCGAGGGTATGCAGCATGTAGTATATCAAGTCTATACCATCATCAAATCAACACCACCGTACCAGCATCACACTTACTGAAGTTATTTCACCATATCCAGAGCCCAGGGCCCAGTGATTTTCCAAAGCCACAGCATTTCCATACACCCAGTAATAGTGCATAGCGCCAGACACCAAATACACACTAGCGTACATATAGACCATTCGAGGGACTTGAACCTGGCTACCTACTCAACAAAACCACTTCTTGACTTACATCTATTTCGTATCACATACTCGTACGGTCTACTGAAATAAAGTATACCCCCTCTCTTTAAGATTACCATGCCTGCGCAGATCTTGTCGTGAGTGCGATATACCGTGGGTGGATTCATGAATGATACCAACTTTGCTGTTTTGTTGTCGAGTGTTTTGCTGCTGTCGATTTGACTCCTTAAATGTCAAGATTTCTACAAAAGAAATTCATTTCGCGTACTAGTAGACGCCTTGGATTTTCTTTTGGGGCATAGGGATAGCGTTTCTAGGTTTTACGGGCGTATTATCAATCCTTCTTTTTGCGGCAGTGAAGAGTGTGTAGGAAAGTGAAGAGAGGAGAGAAATAGAGAAAAATGGAATTGTGTGTTTGGTTTGGGTTTGAGTAGTCTTGTAAGGGATCTTGTTATTTACTGCGTATATATAGCTGGAAATAACAGTATACTAGAGATACTCGTATAATTGATAGAATGATGTTTTTATTAAGGGTTTAGAGAGAGTAAGTGATAAAGAAATATTAGTATATTACGTGCCTCGCTTATAGGGTTGTCGAATCTAAATTTAGATTTACTAAATCTAATTTATAAACCCGTAAATTAGCGTAATTTATTTTTTGGCATCTAATTTATAATCTTGGCATAGTTTTAGTAGTATAAATTTAGAAAAATTCACCAGAAAGACTACTGAAAATATGTATTGTGACGGTTATGGTCACGAGGGCTGGATGTCACATGCTCGCTTAGCGAGGCGCTAGCGCGCACGACCTGTATTTAGTTCCCAGCTCTCTCGAGCTCTCCTTCTTTCCTCGTCTTTTGTCCTAAGAATAGAGTGTTAATTGTTCTGAGTTCTACCTGAAGCACGTCTGTCACATGTATAGAAGAGTACTTAATTTTTAGAATTATTAATACTAAACCTCTTCCTCGTTACTTAATTCGTTAATCTTAATATTGCTTATACTCTTATTAGATTTGTTATCTTCTTCTTCTATTAATATAAGTACTCTCCTAAGTTTAACAAGTCTTTCGTCTATATAAAGGTTAATAATACTAGGAATTTAGTATTATAGCCCCGCCGGATATTAGGAGTTATCATTATTCCGCCTCGAGGTCACGTTTCAGGTCATATGACGCATATAATTAGAATCTAATTTATTATTGCCTAAACGCCTAATTTACTAATTATTTCTAATTTATATAAATTAGATCTAATTGCCCAACCCTACTCGCCTAGAATCTTTATGAAGATAGTATTAGAATGTAGAAATAAGTAATATATATGATAAAAAAGCTTATAAATTTTGTTCAAACATAATAGCAATACTTCCATATATTATTCTTGCAATTTAAAGGGATCAACTATACTAAAAACTTGTTCGAAGCCGTTGAAATACTGCGTAAGATACTTGCACTAATTAATCTTCGACACTTCCTCAATAATCCTCTCACAAATAAATACCAAAGTCGAAGCGTTAATAATCTCCAACGTCGTAAGCTCAACACTCAGCTCAACCTTCAAAAAATTGCGCACCTCCACCGCTGCCAAAGAATCAATCCCATAAGCAGACAACGGCCGTCCAAAGTCCAACGTTTCCGACACCCGTAAAACTCTCATCAAATACCGGTTAACCACCTCCGTGGTTGTGTCGAGGATCGCTCTCGCCCCAGCATTCGAACGAATCATTACGAGGATCGATTCGAGATCCTTTGGCCCTGCATGACCTTGCTCTTGACTGCCCGCTCTGCGACTTTGCGAGAACAAGCCTGCAAATCGTGGGTCGGATGCGAGCAAAGAATCAGGTGGCTGCGGTACGTGAAGTCCTGTTATCATTTGCGCAGCGCTTCGGGCATAGATAGGTATCTTTTCTTGCTGGTGGATAGAAAGCTCAAATGTTCTGCGGAGGACCTTCTCATTCAGAACATTCCAGATGGATTCATCGTATCGGTTGCGCAGGTCGTCACGTTCCGCCATGTAGCCAATATCCGCGACGACTCCCAAATCTATCGAGCATGCCGGAAGGCCGAGCCCTTGTCGGTACGAAGCGAAGGCATCGAGGAATGCATTTGCAGCGGCATAGTTGGCTTGTCCTTTGCTGCCATAGACACCGGAAATACTTGATAGCATGGTGAAGAAATCTAAACTCAGGTTCATTTCGAGAGATATGTTGTGAAGATTCCAGGTTCCCTGGACTTTGCAACCTATTGCAGCGTGATATTCATCTAAAGTCATAGAGTCGAATGGGCGATCCTGAAAATTACATGAGCTGGGTCAGAAATAAAACCTCAGAAGGTACACTTGAAATTTGACTTACACGTAATACCATGGCGCCTTGGATGATACCACCGACAGGAACACTAGAAGCTCGGAACGCCTTCCTCACATCATCGATACATATAACACCTCCCCGAACCACATTGACTTCGCACCCCGAGGCACGAATATTGGACATCACCTGCTGCGATATATCATCATCTCCACCGCTGCGGGATAATACGGTGATGTGCTTAGCTCCATTCTTGGCGAGGTATATTGCTAGGCTTGAGCAAAGACCTCGAAGCCCTCCAACAACCAGATAACTCACGTCTGTACGAAGTTTGATGTTACGTGAAGCACGTCGAACTGGTACTTCAAATTCGGGTTGCTGGGCTCTACTTATAACGAGCTTCCCTATGTGTTTACCGCTGCGTATCATACGGAGGGCATCAGGAACTTTGTCAAACGTAAAGACCTGGATAGGCGTTATGGGCTTCACATGACCCTTCCCGATAAGATCAAACGTCTCAGACAAAAGGCTGTCAAATCATTAGCCTCATATCCTTACGGCATAAAGGACTCAAAATGATGGAACGGAAGCTATAGTGGAGGGTTAGAGAGTGGATAGGGCACTTACTTCGAAAGAATCTCATCGCTAATATTGTCATGGGATAAGTCCAAAGCTCGGAAAGAGGCGTTGCGGTTGAACGGTTCCATAGATAACATGTTCCGATCCAATATATCTCTTTTCCCGATTTCAACCATTGTCCCCCCGTCAGCGATGATACGCCATGATTCATCAAGCATATCGCCTGTCAAAGAGTTCAAAATAATGTTGACTCCTTTCCCCTCAGTATGCTTCATGATTTCCTGAGCAAAAGCGGTATTTCGCGAAGAAAAGATTCTGTCGTTGCTTATTTTGCAGTTTGATACCAGGAAATCACGTTTTTCCTGTGTTCCTACAGTCGCGTATACCTAGATATATGTTAGTAACCTCATCACAGATATTATTAAAATATCTTGAATAGAACTCACCTCAGCTCCAATATAGTGACAGATCTGAATAGCTGATAGGCCGACCCCGCCTGTGGCCGAGTGAATCAACACCCGATCCCCCTTTTTGATATAAGCGAGATGGAAGAGGGTGTGTATAGATGTGGCAAAGACGCAGGGAATTGTAGCAGCTTCTTCGAAGCCCATAGAGTCAGGAATGGCGTGCACCACCTTAACACTTGCCTGAACGCGATTCCCAAACGACCCTCTTTTGAAGAAAGCAACTCGTTGGCCTTGTTTGAATGTATTGACATCTGTTCCAATGCGAGTGATAATCCCACTACCTTCGCCACCAAGCAAGTACTCGTTTTCAGGAACAAGCCCGATCGTACTAGCGACATCCTTGAAGTTAACACCGGATGATATCACATCTATCTCGACCCAGTCCGCTGGCAGGGGTGGGGGCTCGGCAAAGAGCTCGCTGTACTCAAGGGAGTCAAGATTACCCACACGTTCTGCTCTTAGTTTGATTGTGGTTTGTGTACTATGGAACGGCATCATTTCTGGGGGTTTCTCATGTGCATTTTTATTGAACCTGTTAAGGGACAAGTTTGGCAGGATACGGCTGGTGTAGATAATTCCAGCTCGCTCCGTGAATTCGCTGTCGAGATCTGTCTTATCCTTTGCCTGATCAAGAAGACCAAGGACTTTCTCAATGGCTTCCATTGTTGCTTCTCCCGAAGTGTGTTCCACATCTAGATTGAGTAGGGTCAAGAACGGTGCTTCATTGCGTAGAGTTCTGAAAAATCCATTGATGAGGGCCATTTCTGGACGAGTCACAGATACATGTGCGCCTGTTGTAACCCATAAAATACGACATTGTTTTTCAACCAAGCATTTCAACATGGCCCATTGCTGTTTGTTGAGGCTGTTCATAGCCGAAGTTTGAAGTTCATATAAGACAAGCACTTTACTTCCAGATGCAATAGCATCTGGGTCAGAGATTTGAATTATATTCCAAGGGGAACTTTGTAGCTTGTTTTGAATATCTTGAGTGCTTTCATTCTTGAGATGAATGATATGTAGATCTTGAGACGGAAAAGTTTGACGAAAGTCCTCTTTGCGAGTCAGAGCTATTGAGTCAGACTTCCATAAAGTCTTTAAGCCGAGAGGGAAAGTAACACTCCCCATGGACTGTACGTTGCATTCGGCATCAACGAGAAGAGCGATTCCTGCTTCTCTTAGCCACAATTGGATAATTTCCAAAGATCGACCAAGAGTCTCTCTCGGAGCCAAGGGCATCTTCACAATAGCCAGGTCGAAATTAAAATTTAGAGACACTTGCCCCTGTGCAAAATCGACTACAACGTAGTCTGTTTGTTGGGCACCAGAGTATCTCTGTGTTGCTTCGACAATGGTATTGGCGCTGCTCGAAGTGAGCGTGTATTGAGAGAAAGCCGACCGTACTGGGTTTACTGGGGTTTTGCAATCAAACCACAGGCTGGAAGAATCATTGGGGTCAAGGTTGATCTCCACAACACTTAATCGCGGATTTTTATGTGCAGCCAAATCGATCAATCTATGTGCGACCAGCAACGTCGGATCAGGGTCGTCGACTGTCATTTTCGCTGCAGCCTTGTCTGTGATTTGCTTCAGATTTACTTCATCAAGAAACGTAATATCTGCATCCCAAATAAGTTGGCAGTAGGAATGAGACAAGAACGAATTATCGGGGCTGCCTAGCGTAGCATATCGTATTCCTTTCATCTCGAATAGTAGGTTGCCGTCGTTGGGATCATAGACGTCACATGAAAACGCATGGTTTTTCATGACTTCTCTTCTTCCAACCCCAATAAAGTCCGAACGTGCGACCGAGATACCTTCTTCGGGCTGTTGTGACCTAAAAGGTACGAAGAGACTGTCGATCTGTAATGGTATTAAGGTATCGATGTTTTCATTGTCTTCATCCCAAATAGCAGTGACACTTTGGAAGCAACCATCCATACAAGCAGGGTGTAATGGATAAAAGCTTTGGGTCCATTGCGAGGCAGGTGCTTGTAGTGATACTTTCGATCGACCCGCTCGCTCCCCTATAGTAGTCTCCATCTCTGTAATCTTCTGGAAAGATGGACCAAAATTAAAGCCATATTCTTTCATTTTTTTGTACCACTTTCCCTTCGACAGGGGATACTGGAAAGGAACCAGGGCATTCGGCTGTGCCCCTTTGGCCCAAAATTCAGTATCGATGCGGATAAACCCAGTAGTATGATCGCTCCAAGTTCCCAGTATTTCAGTCGATATCTTGAAGTGGAACCAAGAGGGATTGGATCCCACAGGTGCCGTCAAAGCAAGCATAATCAGCGGAACCGTCTCCAAATCATCTAGAACTAGCGCTTTGTGAAACTTGATGTCTCTCAACCGGTACGTATAGCTCTGTGGGATATCTCCCTTCCAAGTTGTCATATAGGCTGCCTGATACATAGCTTCTATAGCCATACAAACATATCCGGTGCCTGGGAACACAGTCTTGTTGCCTAGTTTGTGATCTTTAAGCCAAGCATTGGAATTAAGCATCAACTTATTTTTCCATATCGGTGACTGCCACGAAGTCCCTGGGATCTTTGACCCAAGAAGATCATGCTTGATGAAGGGTCGGAATCGCCAGTCTTTACTAGCCAGACTTTCGTGCCAGTACTTTTTGGAATGGTTCCACGTGTAGTTGGGAAGATCAACCAGAATTGACGGTGGTGGCGATGCCTTCTGGAGTTCATTAACGCGGTATAGATCAACAGACCCGCATGCTGCAAAGAGCTTGCCAGCTACTCCATACAAAGACATTAATGTTTCTGGCCCTCTCGTGGCAACCGAGGTACAGATAGGGGATAACGTTAGATGAGAGATGCTCTCGCAAATCTGGGCGAGTGGCCCAGCCAGAGCATTCGAAGGACCAATTTCAATCAGAAAGTTGGCACCATTCTTTCCATCAATCATAGTTTTGACTGCATCATGGAATTTAACTTGTGATTTTAGATTGCGTACCCAATATGTTGAATCTGTCGCCCCATCCCATCGATCACCAGTCACCGAAGAGAACAAGGCCACTGATTCGTGGTGTTCTGGGTTATTGTAGCCATTTTCATTATGGTTTTTGGCGCCCGCTTGTAGTAACCGGGAGTACTTGTCTGCAACTGGATTCATATATGTAGAATGGTATGCATTATCAACCTGCAGCATGCGAGCGAAATGGCCATCTGCCTGTAGTTTACTGAGAAGCTGCTCCAGCGCCTGTGCAGCGCCTGAAAGTGTCACACTCCTTGGACTATTTAGGCACGCAACTTGAATTTGGTCGTTGTTACCAATGTATTCCTCGATGGCATCGGCAGAGACTCCCACTGCTAGCATACCGAGCTTTTCTGACGGCACCAACTCCTGAACCGCAAGACCTCGAAAGAAAGCAACTTTGATTGCTTCTTCAGCTGTAATATATCCAGCAGCCACTGCGGCAGCTATCTCACCAGATGAATGACCAGCAACCGCCACAGGTTTTATCCCCCAGTCAGAGAGTACTCCAAGGTACGCTAGTTGCAAGGCAGTAACGAGTGGCTGTGAAACTTCAGGTTGGCGGAGGATACCCGGGTCATTCTCTTCAGTAAGTTTGGAGACGAGTGACCATGTAGGTGGCTCCGGAAGATTCTTCAAGACTATGTCTAGGTCTTGAACAATTTTCTTCGCGATAGGAAACATCTGAAGGAGACCTTTTCCCATTAGTGGCCACTGAGAGCCCTGGCCAGTGAAGATGAACCCAACTTTGATAGCATGGCTTGACAGCTTACTCGTGGCGAAAGAGGCTGGATTAAGTCTGGTGCTACTACCTTTCTGGACACTATAGGCTCTGTGAAATAGTCGACTTCGTCGCTCCGAAAGAGTAAATGCCAGATCATCCAAGGCGACCTCGACACCAGGATGTAGCAAATGGGACGAAAGTCTCTTAATTGAAGCCTTCAGAGAATCTTCATCGTTTGCGGACAGAACAATCAACTTGGGCTTCGATTGCTTCCCAACTGTTGCACTTTGGATATTGTACTCGCTAAAGAAATCCTCGCTAATGCTATCTTGATTCACGTGAGAACTTTTGAATTTTGGCAAAGATCTCTCTAAGAGTTTCTCGGGATTTTCAATAATTGCGTGTGCATTAGAACCACCAAAGCCGAACGAGTTGATACTGGCACGTCTTTGGGAATCTTTTGGCCACTTCATGGGGTGATAAAATGCCTTGACTCGAGACTTTTGGAAGTCAATTTTGGGATTTGGATCCAGGAAAGTAGCAGTTCCTGGGATCATGTGATTTTCTATCGAGAGAACAATTTTGATTACGCTTGTGAGCCCAGAGGCTGCTTCTGAATGCCCCACGTTGCTCTTGACTGAGCCTATAGCCAATGGTTGGTCGATAGTTCTTGTTGAAGCGAAGATGTTAGCCACGCCTTCGACTTCAATAGGATCTCCAGCCAGTGTTCCAGTACCATGACACTCAAGATAACCCGTGCTCACAAGATCTTTGGTAGATAATCCGGCGTTTGAATAAGCGTCGCGGATAGCGCTAGCCTGTGCCTTGGGATCCGGCATGGATATCCCTGGTGTTCTACCCGCGCTATTGGCCGAAGTGCCACGAACAATGGCACGAATTGGATCACCATCACGGACAGCATCCCGCAACCGTTTCAAGAAGACAACATTGATAGCTTCAGCGGCCACATATCCATCTGCCTTACTGTCAAACGCATGGCATCTTCCGGTTGCAGATGCGGCAGCTCTCATACTTCCCATGTCTTCATTCCTCTCCGGACTCAAGTACATGTTCACCCCACCTACAATCATAGCATCAGCTTGATGGCTTCTCAGATAAAGACATGCCATATCGAGAGCTGTAAGTGCACTAGAACAGGCGGTATCTATAGACAAACTAATTATAGCAGTCAGTATAACCTGCATGCGTCCTCTATTGTATAAAGGAAAGGAATATTTCGGAATTGACAAATCCCTCACCTTGGTCCCGAAATGTTAAGAAAATGGCTTATGCGATTACTGAGAAGCGAACGGCTAGATCCTATGGTTGGAGAGCTCGTTCTGTCTTCGACGTCTTTGAGGTCCATGTCATAGTAATCTCCACGAAATCAGCAAAGCCAAATTATCCGTCTGGAGAACGAACTACGAACCGACTGCACTTGCACCAATTAAACATCCCACTCTTTGACCGCTGAGCTTTTCAACGGGCATACCAGAGTTTTCTAAGCACTCGTATGTTACTTCTAACAGGTTTCTTTGTTGGGGATCCATCGCTGTAGCGTCTGTCTGGTTGATGTTGAAAAATCCCGCATCGAAATCAGCTGGATCAACATCTTCTATGAACATCGCTCCTGGTGTTTTCATGGTGTATGGTTTTCGAGAGGCATCAAAGTGTCCTGGAAGGTTGAAACGATTTCGTGGTGGTTCGTTGGAGGCTACTCCTCCGCTCATCATGAAGTCCCAGAGATCCTTGGGACTGCTACAGTGCCCAGGAAGACGGCATGCCATCCCAATAATGGCGATTGGGTTATGGCTGAAGTTTCCGATCGAACTATCGTGTTCATCTTTATGAATAGTGATCGGTTCAGGAACTTCGTCCAATTCATTGAACCGCTTTGCATCACCATTGCCAGCGCTGAATAGCGCCTCCATAATGGAGGCTCCAATTCAAATATCTGAGCTTTTCCAACAATTTATGGCAATCGTGGAGCTATGGGGAGCTTGAAAACAAGACTTCAGAACTATTAGCAAATCAGTGCTTGTGGTTATAGAATACTACGAACCAAACGTCGCACAAGCATTGATTGATTTGGCATCCAAAAAACACAGTGTTTTGATACAGTAAACTATCCAATAGTTTACCAAATCGCACACGTCAACCAAGGCAAAATATTAGGCCAAATGTGATGCGAGGCGCATTATCTCCAAGTTCATCTCGGGACTCCGACCCGATTTTGGAATACACCGGAGTGCTATGCAGTACGGCGTACATTAGGCGATGTAACTTCTCTCACATCCCCATGTTTAACAGTTCTTATCCCAGGGAACATTGCAGGGAGCTTTGACCTGTTAAATACTCAGAAAGGTCACAAATCAGAAAGAATCTGGCAGATCTAAGAACTCCCCAGATTTGTGATTTCAGGGTAGTATTATAAAGATACGAATACATCCCTACCTAAATCATTGCCCCGTAAACATCCTCTTCTCAAATACGACGGAGCAATTTCAGGATGCCAGGTCAGGAGGAGATCGAGTTTCGGACGTTAGATGGCCTTACATTGCGGGGAGCCTTATTTGTGGCAGACTCGAATAGTCCTGCGGTCATCTTGACACCAGGAGTGAGCCCCTCTCGAAACATTCTCTATCAAAAACTAACAAACATAACAGTTCAATGTGACAAGAGATGTTCTTTTACCTAGAATAGCACAGTACTTTCAAGCGAACGGAATTTCGGCCCTTATTTACGATCCTCGCACAATAGGCTCCAGTGATGGCATGCCCAGAAACGACATCAATCCTGCGCAACAAGTAGCCGACTATCATGACGCCTTGACTTTTCTGAAATCAGACGAACGTATCGACCCCGACCGCATCGTGTATTGGGGCTTTTCGTTTAGTGGCGCGGTAGCCGTATCTGCCGCAGCCCTAGATAAGCGGGCGAAAGCGGTTGTGGCTGTCTCTCCGCTGACAAACTGGGATCTTGACGGCGGTAAAATGAACGGCGTTATGGCCAAGGCCATTCAGGATCGCGAGTCGCGAATAAGTGGCAACGCTGCATTCTCCATCCCGATGATTACGGACCAGGGTATAAACCCAGCGGGATTCTCGTCAGGAATGGGGGCCAGCGAGCTGAGCCTGGTAGCGGAGGCCAAGAAGATCCCGGGCTTTCGACTGGATACGACCATTCAGACCTACTACAATATCATATCTTGGAATCCGTTCAAGCTGCTGAAGTTTCTCACGCCAACCCCCGTCCTTCTAGTGTCTCCCGAAGAAGACCGAATATCGCCTCTGACCGATCAAAAGCTGGTCTACAATCAGATACAGGGGCCGAAGCAGATGCATGTTGTAGCGGGCAAGGGACATATGGATGTCTTGGATGGTGAAAGTTTTGAGTCTACCATGGCCGTGCAAGTCGCCTTCGTTCGTCACCATGTCTAGTATCAACATGCATCCATGCGGCACCGCTAGGTCCGATGACCGATATGATATGCATGGACTTTTCACTCCGTCGGAAGCTGGCTGATACAGCAGTAAGCTGTAACCTAAAACTCACAACGGAATCATGTTAGTGGTGTGTTCAATTCCATATTTACATCCCCCTTTTTGCAACCGGTCAGCAATTACAAAACTTTATACCACTACATGCGCCTTGTGTGGCGACGAGCTGGGGTAGTATTCCTCTTTTACCAATCACACAAACGAGATCAGAGAGATCTTCTCCCCTCCACTCATACTCTTGTTGAGAATCATAATTATGCACCTATAGTTTTGAAGTGAAAACAAAGTACTGTGCGTATAGGCATTCCTAAGGCGCAGCAAATGGCGCAACACCCATGCCCGAGATCTCGGTACTCGTACGTGTTTAAAGGAAGGCGTTGAGACTGCAGATAAGACTGCAAGACTGACGCTATGTAGTGCGGAGCCGGATAGCTTACTATAATCTCAACTTTCGGTGAGCAAGTTAAGAGTGGGCGGTTAGCTTCCGAGATGCTCCTCGCTTCCCCTGACTCGCTTCCTCGGACAACTCGCTTGGGAGACGCGTTATATACTTCGTAGTATTAACAATTATCAAACGCCATTGGAATTTTGTATCACCTTATTAGCTGGATTATGACTACGTGACACCAATCGCCCCCGATATCATATGCGGACAACTGACGCCACAAACATGCTGGCGGGCTGTTAAGTGTAATACTCGGCTGTGTAGTGGAGTATCAATTACCAAGAGCAATTTCTACCTTGTAATTCAATTTATCCGCTGTCCCTTACAGAGTAACATTAGGCTAATTCTCAGGACGATCAGTGGATTCTCTCCCCGGCAGTGATAACACTTCGCGATCATCGCATCCAGAACCTCAATGACGAAGCTAGGTATCACAAAAAAGCCTTTCCAAAGCGCCAATACATTGCTGAGCCTCTTGATATCCCCTTTGACCCCCAATTTGGAAGTAATCCGGGTTCTTTACCCTTGAAAACATCTCGTAAAGTCGGTACTTGTTAGTTCGAGGGGACATCGGGGACTAGGGTGCCTTCGTACCAGCGCGGAGGTCAGTTAGTCTTTGATAATAGTAATCCTTCAGCCCAAAACCGCTCGCTGTGCCCGGACTGTGCTGTTAACAATCCATCCAAAAGGGCATCTAGGCAGTCTTAGCTAAGGACACTGCGTGCGGCTCAGCAATATGTAAATAAAGGGATTGTTCATCAAAGTCGAGTTGAAAACAAATACATTGACGCTGTGTTCTGCATCTTGCATGATCTTTTACCTGTCATATAGATGAAAAGCTATCTATCTTATTTGCCAAGCCTACTTTAAAGCATGATCGGATTGTTTGTTTTTCTACTTGGGTGTCATTGGGCATGGGCGATTCCCTCTGGCTACACAAAATGCAAGAATATAGCAAGTGATCCCAGATGGCCTGGCCCAGAGGACTGGGCACGCCTCAACGCAACGGTAGATGGCCGGTTGATTGCCACTGTTCCCATTGCAGTGGATTGTCACAACCCCAGCTACAATCATGAGCAATGCCAGGTTCTGAAGGATACTTGGTCATTCGCTGATTCGCAGTAAGTATTTCAGTATGTGGATTTTGGGAGCATCTAGAAGCTGACGGCGAAACAGTGTACATGCACCAGCAGAATTTCTGGCTCCATATTTCCAAAATCAGTCTTGCGACCCTTTCACCAACCAGGACAGACCCTGTGTGCTTGGAAACTACGCTGAATACTCTATCAACGTATCATCCATCCATCACATTCAAGCGGGAGTTCAATTTGCTCGAGCGAAGAATATTCGGTTGACTATCAAAAACACCGGGCACGAGTAAGCGATTCCAAGAAAGGTTTATGGTTTTCAATAGCAGCTAACACTTTCTTTAGCCTTCTTGGAAAGTCGACTGGGAGAGGAGCTTTGTCCTTATGGACACACCACCTGAATGCCATAGATTTCATTGAGCATTATTCGGGTGATGACAAGTATGATGGGCCCGCAATGCGACTCGGCGCAGGTGTTCTGACGTCGGACGCTTTTGAAGCCGCACATGAGAAAGGACTACGGGTAGTTACTGGCACCTGTCCAAATGTTGGTGTCACCGGAGGCTATACATCTGGCGGCGGCCATGGTGTTTTCACGTCTATATATGGCCTCGCAGCGGATAATGTCTTGGAATGGGAGGTTGTCACTGCAGACGGTGATCATATCGTGGCAACGCCGAAAACCCATGCCGATCTATACTGGGCTCTTAGTGGTGGGGGTGCGGGTACCTTTGCGGTTGTTGTGTCCATGGTAACACGAGTTTATTCGGATGGTCCAATAGGCGGTGCTAGCTTTATGTTTGACGTGGAGACAGCCGGCAGCATCGAAGCATATTGGAACGCTGTGACCGTGTTCCAATCGGCTTTGGGTCCAGCAGCAGATGCAGGTGCAGTTGTGTCATATGCGTTGACGCCAACTGCCCTCAGTGTTTACGGCATAGCGGTGGTAGATGGAAGCCCATCTGGAATTCAGGGAGTCTTGGAGCAACTCACAGCTGCCATGGCGAGTGTTAAGATTCCTTTAAACGTTACTGAGACAGCTCATCCAAGTTTTCTCGACTTCTTCAACCATTACTTTTTGCAAGCAGTTACATTGACTCCTCAAGCGCAAATTACTGGAGGACGTCTCGTGCCGCGGTCGGTAATGGAGAATATTTCGGGAGCCAAAACAGTTACTCAGGCATTCCGGAGCGCTTCCGATGCTGGGTTCTCTATTGTATGCAACGCTTTGAACGCAAATCAATCGCGGCTTCATCAAAACGCTGTTCTTCCCGCTTGGAGATCCGCCTTACTGCACTGTATTGTGGTCAGAACTTGGGATTTTAGTATCCCACGTACAGAAATGATAGCTTATCAGACAACACTGACCAAGGTTATCATGCCTCAAATCGAACACGCGACTCCGAGTAGTGGAGTGTACCTTAACGAGGCAAACTTCGAACAGCCCAATTGGCAAACGGTTTTCTATGGAGCCAACTACCCTCGCTTGAAGGATATAAAAAACAAATGGGACCCATTGGGTGTATTCTATGCCCAAACAGCAGTGGGAAGTGAAGTGTGGGCTGAAGATAGAAATGGTAGACTTTGTATGATATAGCAACTTAAAATAATAAAGAATGTGTGTTGTGTATTAGGCCACTCTTGACTATGACCTCTTGAATGCCTTTACCGCCAAGAATTGACCACTAGCTGAGCTATTGAGACAAAATTACCTCGGCTATCACCATGGGAACTCATTGCCACTAATCGCATCTATAAACTTTCCAGAGTTACTCTCTCGGCTGGATTTCTCGATCTAGGTAGCAAGTTAGGCATTGATAGGTTTCGGACGTATACGGTAAACTCACGAGACTCATAATCTTTTCAGCACTTTGTTCCGCAGTCCATGTGGCCTTCTCCAAACCAAGATACTTTGCCGTCTTATTTCCCATATCGGTTGCAACCAAACTGAATAGTATAAGAGTTAGTCTTGGTACCTCGAAAATCTCTGGAGTTTCCGAAGAGCCTTACCCAGGGTTGACGGCAACGGCGGTAAGCCACTCGTTGCTACAATGCGCTGCCCTGTTTAGCAGTCGGTTAGATTCCAAGTCTCCCTGTTATAAATAAACCAAGATTATGCACGTACAAAATAATCCAGTTCAGGGCCGCCTTTGAAATACAGTAGGATGGTGCGACAAAAGTGCCACCTTGTTGCATTCCACAGAGAGTTCCAGCAGCACTGCTCATCGGCATAAATTTTGCATTGGTTGATTTCTCCAGCAACGGAAGACAGGCCTGATACAGAGCCAAAGGACCTAGAGCGTTGACTTGAAATGTGCTCGTCACGACTCCAAGGTCGACTGTATCAATGGGCTCTATAGGAGGGCTCACACCGGCATTAGGTATCAAGATATCAATGTGGTCAATACCTACGGCCTCTAATTCCTTCACTACATTGCTTGCGTCTGTTGGTGAAGAACTTTCTATCTTAACCAGGAGGAGTTGTGAGCCCTCTCCCTTTGGTGAATTCTTCAATTCAGCTACTCCAGGAGCAGAATCATCGCGAATGCTTCCTACAACTGTACAGTTTGGAAGCGCGACGTATTTTCGTGCCAAAGCATTTCCAAGGCCTGATAAATGATTTAGTCCGAAGGAGAGTCGCTTTCAGAAATAGACGCACCTCTGCCAGCACCGGTAATAACTACGACAAGCTGATCCGGCATCTTCCTGTGTGTATATGTTGAATTTGAAGGTTTTGTATGTGTCCTCGGAAGCGTTTGTTTGTAAGGTTGAAGTAGTCTCCGATCGAAGCGAGGACAAAGAGAATTGGCCTGTATCAAGTTGCAGCGGAGGTCTATGGTGGGTAGAGATCTTCCTCTTGGCACCAGCCTCATGAAGGGAAAGTTATATTCTGAGTCACCTGATATCAGTTTGCATTTACAGTAATTGCACTTTTTGGCTAGGATGTCACTACCTGAAATCCTTGGGTTGCAAATAGAGGCGCAGTCTGAAAACTACCTCTCGGAAAACCTCCCAATTAGGACAAATTAACTGCAGCTGTTGCCTCGGCAATTACTACCATTTTGATCACACCATATGTAAGTGATTGGTCCACTTTTTACGCTTATCTTTAAGGCTTGCTGCAACAATGCTGTACGGTCTGATTAGGCAGGCGACATGTGTCAAACGTATGAGATGCATGTTCTTCAAAGTACTTATGCGGCTAAGCATTTGCGGATACATGACCCGTGGAAAGGAAGACTCGCACTCAGCGGCGTCACTGCATCGCAACTACCAAGGTGCTGCACCATTCTTGATTCACAGCATGCATAAATAGGGAGTTTAGGTTGGGATTCTCTTCCATTCTCATAAGTCTCAAACAAACAGTATGGATCGAAATCCTTCGTTCTCTCGTTCCTTCCAGTACGAGCACTTCGGGATCATCACCATCTTTGCCACTACAGGTCTTCTCGCATTGTACATGATCTACTTGGTCATTTACAGGCTATATATTAGTCCAATAGCGAAGTTTCCGGGGCCCACGCTTGCTGCAGTCACTCACTGGTACGAAGCCTACTACGACCTTGTCAGCAATGGGGGTGGACAATGGACGTTCCAGATCCAGCGTTTGCACGAAAAGTATGGACCAATTATCCGCATCAACCCAGATGAGATACATATCGATGATGTGGAGTACTATGATTTCGTCTACTGCAATAGCACATCTACTCGGCCGATTGATAAGAGCGAAAAGTTCCGGTATCGTTTCAGTGTCCCAGAGGCCACCGTACAAACAGGACTGGCTGAAGTTCACCGCAGGCGTCGTGCTGCTATCGCTCCATGCTTCTCCAAGGCCCGCATCAAGAGCCGCAATAATGATCTGCAAGCTGTCGTCGACGGAATTTCTAACCGTTTGACAACCGAGTTTGCAGGAACTGGCAAATTTATCAATGTGAACTTCATGTGGGGCGCCATGGCGTCCGACATTATCACAGAGATAGCATTTGCTCGACCAACAGACTACTCATCCGCACCTAACTTTATATCACCCTTTTCTCAGGCAATAGCCGAAGCGGTTGGCGCTTCTCACGTCATGACACATTTTGGCATTCTTGTTACAGCTTTGAATTCCATCCCGGATTGGGCCCTTGCCATTCTGGTGCCATCGTTCAAGCCTGTGCTGGATTTTCGCAAGGTAAGTCTAAGTCTAGCTCCGATCCCAAAGGTTCTTGCCATAACTCAGAATGCGGCAGGACATGGCCCATCAAATCCGAGAAGTTCTTGATGGGAAGAATTTGGCTACTAAGGAGGCGTCACATGAAACTATTTTCCACGATGCTCTTTCTGCTGATTTACTGCCCGAGGATATGACTCTATCAAGAATGAACCAAGAATCAATGGCATTGCACGGCGGCGCTGTAGAGACCACGTCTTGGGCGCTCACTGTGGCTGTATTCCATATATTAGACAAACCATCCATCCAGGCTCGTCTTAAGGCAGAGCTTGCTAAGTCCATGCCCGATCCGACTAGAATACTTACGTGGAATGAACTTGAGGAGCTTCCTTACTTATCAGCGGTGATCATGGAAGGTATGACAAGCAGTTAAAGAATAAGCAAGATTATCTCTAACAAATTACAGCCTTGCGTCTTAGCTTCGGGTCCGTACAACGACTGCCACGCGTCAATAGGTTAGGCACACTGCAATATAAGGATTGGAAAATACCACCGAGCACGCCCGTAGGCATGGATGCATATCATATGCATATGAACGAAAAGATATTTCCAGGGCCAACTGAATTCCGACCAGACAGATGGCTAGGGAACCCTAAAGGTCCTGGTGGTTTACGTCCATTGTCAGCTTACATGGTAGCATTTAGCCGAGGGGCTCGAAATTGCCTTGGCCTTAACTTGGCATGGATGGAGTTGTATGTAGGTCTAGCGACGATATTTCGAAGGCATGATCTTCAACTGTTTGAAACGAGCCGGGAGGATGTTGATTTTATCGTTGATCTAGCAAAACCAATGCCGAAGTGGGGAAGTAAGGGGGTTAGGATACTTGTAAATAAATAACTTTGGCTCGCTTTAAGGAATAAGGACTTTGATATCTCCGCTAATGATGAATTAAACTTTTACCTTTCCGTGGGGCCGTAAGTAACTAAGCAGCTTGCATGGAGATCACCCAATCGCGTCAATTTGCTATGTTGAGGTGGTGTGGCTTGGTGGTAAGATCTTCGCTTATGTTGCCCGAGGGCGGGAGAATAAGCCAATACTACTGGTTATCCTGAATCTCATGGGTATATTATGCCTGCCGTCTCCGGAGACTGTGCCGCTATAGAAGGATTTAAAGGATTTCCGGATTCTTTGGCCCGCATGCACGTCAGGTGTATCCAGACGGCGTAGAACCAATCTATGGCCGCTTATGTAGACCCTCGATTCTCAAGAGAAGTTTTCCATGTGTCACACCTGAACTTACTGACCCATCGTTCCACACTTGATACTTTCTTTTCACTGTGAACTTTTACGTCGATTCGCACCTTCATACTACCTCGAGGCGTGCCAACACACTCAATCATGAAGGTCCCTGTGGATAGTACAGGTCACACAGGCTTCGGAAATACCAGTCTCGGGATCACATGGACATTGGTTGCTCTGGCCATCATAACTGTTGCTGCTCGATTCTTGATCCGCAAGAGGTCCTCGAATAAATGGGATTCTTCGGACTGGATTATGCTGCTTGCATTGGTGGTTCAGATCATCTTTCAGGCCATGTACATGGAATTGGTTTGGTGGGGAGGAAGCTTACCATTCGACAAAATCAATGCTATTCAGAGACTAAACACAAGCAAATGGGGGTGGATTAGCGCTTCTCCCAGCATTCTGACTTCTTGCATCGCTAGAATATCCATTGCCATCTTGCTCGTTCGCATTTTCGGCGTTCAAAAATGGCTGAAGCGGTACCTGATCAGTTTTACTGCACTCGTGACGATCATGTCCCTCCTGAGTATCATTTTTCTTGCGGCTCAATGTACGCCTTGGAGTGGTCTTTGGAATAGGACCATCAAAGCAAAGCGTTGGAATCCCTATATCTATGCATATACTGCATTAGCAACACAATGTGAGTCTGATACACTGTTTATACGATAATTGCATCTGCCATCTGAGCATATCGTGTAACTATCATGGCTAAACTAACCATTCACAGTCCTCTATGCAATTTCGGACTTGACTTTTGTCCTATGGCCGGTCATAATCATCTTTAACCTCAACATGTCCGCCCGCCGCAAAGGTGCCATCATCGGTCTCATTTCCCTGTCCCTCATCACCATGGGAGTTGTCACATTGAAGATTGTCATGATTCTGTTACGTTTGACTGTCCCACAAGCCGCAACCAGCATCGTAGCACGATACTATCAAAGCATAACCAATTTGGTTGCCTCAATCGAACAGTCTCTCGTTATCATCCTGGGATGCGTTCCAACTCTGAAGCTCCACCACATCAAAGTGCCTACTATGCATGAGGTAAACTCCTTCATGGCCAGCCTCGTTCCCACCGCCCTTTCGAGTCGGAGCAGACAAGGTTCCTCGCACTCGTCTGGTACCGAAAATTACCAAGATTTGGAACTTTCACATAGAGTCAAAGCCACGGACGAGGAAGGCGGTTATATAAAACCTTACTCGGTCACTGTGAAAGGGAGGACCTGAGCCAAGAGTACTGTGCTGTACTGGATCCATTGCATCTCCCGCCTGGCTTAGTATTTGTTTTGTGGGAGGTATTGGGACCATCTGAGGGTGAATATTAATGGATGTGGGTATACATATATCTAAGAACTTTAAAGTGTTGGATTGTATATGGCTGGCGTGTGGTCCAAGACTAGATAAACGTACATAGTTGTTATAGAAGTGATGACGAACTCTTATGTCTACTCACATTATGCGTCATTCCAATTATCTTGTGGCCCCCCCCACAGGCTTCAAAATTCATTTTCAAATTCTATAAGTAACTTGGACGAACTTTTTTTTGTTGTATAGCAGACATTGAGCCAACTTTCTGCCCGTTATTGTTTTGGTATATTCACAATTATACTTCAAGAGGTGGGAGAATACGCGTATCATAAACCCATTTTGCGTTAACAGACTTCCAGGTTGAGACCTCAATCTCATTACTTCAATATTATTTCCCGCGATTACAGTATCAGGGAATTACAGTAATGTACAGCATCCTAATCTGGGACATCATTTACACAAGTCGGTTAGGAATAAGCTTATAAATAAGTAGAAAGAAAGTATACATTCCCCTTCAAGAGAAACTCGTTAACCGCAAAGAACAAACCATTACAGAGTATGAATAATCAACTCCCATTCAACAGTACAGTTCGGATACGCAGCTATCTCTTATGAAAATCCCGAGACTGTTATCTAATAATCTCTTAATATCGATTCTTCGACTCTCTTAGTCTTCGACTTAGTCTCTTAGATATTTATTGATTCGATTGGCCCATTTCGTATCGAACGGTCTTTGGCTTGCTTCCTTTCGAATGGTTCTCCTCAACACCCTCCCGCTTGCTTCGCGCCGAACAGACAACCCTGGCCTTCTGCATCTCGAAGATGCTTCTCTACTACCATATCACTTGCTTCGTATCGAACAGGCTTCTCCTTCTCCACTACAATGATCTCCAACGTGCTTCGTATCAAGGACCACTATAAACAGCGTTGCGGAACCCTAGGAATGTTCATCCATTATCTCTAAAGTTCTACTTGTTTTTAGAATAATAGAATCGAGGGAGCGAAAGGGAGGGGGATTACATTGAGCGTCTCCAAAGCACCACCATGTGGGAGAGCTATGAAACCGAGGGAGCGTTCATCTAGCATATGTAAAGCTGCCCTCACTTAACATCGCGAATCTCAATCTAAGGGCTCGCCATTCTCTCTGCACTTACCCAGCATATCAGCTGTTTCTTCTGGGTCTATTATTGTTGGTCCTAAGATCCCGAGATATAAACCACTTCATCGTAGACCTGGGAGAAATATATCTGGGAGAGCTAGATCTGGTATCGGTGGCACGGGCGGTAGAGATAGACAGAAAGGTGGAAAGAAGGCAGAAGATAGAAGATAACTGTTAATATAACAACTTTCTATTCATTTGTTCATGATTTTGATTCGTAAAACTTGTTTAGTAATCTTATCTTCAAAGATAATTTTCAACAGTTCACATTAAAATGGCTTCGAATTAGTGGTACAGTAAGAACACCATTTCAGCTATAACTTTCAGGTATAAACTGCCCTCCTAATCACAACTTTTCGGCACATGCGTTATCGTAATATTGCCATACTCTTCCACAGTCTTGCTTTCCCAAGGCAGTACCCTTTCTACTGTCTAGCACGTTCGCACTTCTTGATGTCCACAGTCTCTGCCGTAACATTTAGAGTGCCCTTGTTAAAGGATTCTCTGCCGCCCAGTCCTGCGAATCCAGCCTTATCAAAGTTGTAGTAGCCCTCGGTACCGTCTACAGTGATACCGTACACCCTATTCTTCTCGTTGGCATCGGTAACGTACGTAACCTGAACGCAACTACCGCAGGCTGTCTTGTCCTCAGCGGTGACAAGAGGTGTGGCAATAACACTGTAGTAGTCTGACAAGACATCGACGAAGTAGATGTACTATCGAGCATAACGTTAGTTCTTCGGCTGTCTTCCTGACCATATATAGCCACGGGCCTTTTCAACTTACATTGTTCGTGTTGAATGGGTGGTCGGCAGGAAGAGGGGCGCAACCGTAGTCGGCGATTTTCAGACTAATGTTCAAGTACGGTTCGGCATAAGAGGCTGGCAAATCGGCGGCTCGTGGGACCAAGACATTGGGCAGACTGGCAGCTAACACAACCGAGGCGGCAACAACCCCTGTGGCGGCGATTCGTTGAAAAAACATTTTGGTAGTGGGGTAGGCTTTGGCTGGTATTATCAAAGTAACTTGGTAGCGAGTGTTGCTAAAGAGTGTAGGTTGTCAACGGCCTGGATATAGCAGAAGGTGAAAGAATGGAGGAAGTGTTAATCTTATACTTGAAGCACTCTCTGGAACTCGAAATTGCGTTGTTATTTTTAACAACTTAGATGCGGTGCAATAAGGCCGATATACGTTTACATTATTAGAGGGGGATCAATTACTGCAGGAAGCAAAAGACCTTAGCAATTACCAAGAGCCTTGGTGGTGTATCCCTCCACTATTCACGAGTCTAGGACATTGATTTCTACGTTTTCTTGTTGTAAAGACGGGCGATTAACGTCAAACTGGACCAAATTTAGAGTTCTTCGATCCCTGTCCTTGAACTATCTCGCTAACTTCCGTCGAAAGGTAGATTAACCTCTTAGAAGACAAGACAATTAATAGAACTCTCGGCTACCTAACGCGTAACTGTATAATATAATGACGCAACGGAAACATAATTAGAATTTTGTTAATGTATTTATTATTACCTAATATTTATTCCTTTATTGTTTATCGCTATATAACTATGTCTCTAGTGAAACTTAGTTCTAAAAGTGTAAAAAGAAAACAGTTACTAAGAAGGAATTTTATACATGGGTTATGGAAGCTGTTAAGTAAGAGCTCCTAATAGCCACAAGGTGCTAAAATGCTCTACCGATACGATTAAAGCTTAGGGTAAGAAATCCAAGAACTACACTAAGTAATAAAGCGAGGCTGGCGATTAAAAAGGAGTAGTTCGCATAGCTTTAGGGGGATCTCGGTGTAGCCAAGGCCAAAAACTTTGATTCAGTAAATTTTCCTTGGGCTTTCGTCTCGAGTTACGACGATATCTCGGAGAGCCGAGAACTCTGCTTATGACGTACTTGTAATCCAAACTAACTGCCACCAAAATTAACGAAACGGAAGATCGCGGGCACGTACCAGTAGTATCCTTGAAATTCTCCGTTAAACTTGTCCATGAAAGAAACACCTTATACAGTAAAGAAAGGGTCTAGACAGCTCGGGTATCCCCCCCTGTATACGAGTTGTTATAGGCAGGGTATAACTCCACAATATAGCCCTCTAAGCCAATTGAATTGTCCGATTCATGTGGAGGTATATCAGAAAGTGACAAAGGGGAGGAGACCCGAGCTGTCCACCCCCTTTACCAGAGTACGAGCTACTTAAATGCAACATTCAAATCTAAAATTCTAGCAACAGTATTCAGCCGAAAACTCAAATTCATATCTGCCGAACGGCTCTTTATACTTCGAAGTAACAACATTCCAAATCCAAAAAGCACGCAAGTTCACTTCCAATCGGCTAATCAGACGACTGTGTTCAAACACCTGTTAGTATCCACTGTTCTATTTATATCACTCTATTTAAATTTACTTCGAGGGATTAATGCTGTTCTGTAAGTAGGACAAACTTCTCCAAGACAATTTTGAAACGTGTCATGTATGGATTTGAGAAGGCTGAGAAGATAAACCTAAATATAGTCTGGATTCGAGCGTCGAAAAGTTGCTAGAGCTGCCATCGCAAGTTTGCTCCGCCAAGGAATATAGAGAATTATATGAATCGAGTAGAATATTCAATGCTTGCCGTGAGAGTCGATAGCAAATGCACCCTCCATCGACTATGAGATGTGTCGGGTCTAATATAAAACCAGAGATAATATGTGGATAACTTCTTGTATTAATAACCATTGGTCCAACCTGTCCCGAAGGACCTCTGCAAACTGCTTCCATCCACCCACCACCAGAAATGGGTTTTAACAACTATCCTAGATAATGTCAGTTTTAGCGAAGCTTGGCTTTTGACGTGAAATAAGATTTTGGGGCGAGAAGACAACCGCAATTAGTTGTTGAATGTCGTAACTGAGGGTGGACAGACAATGCTGGACACTGTCACGTAGATCCTATGTGAAAAAATTCTATATCGCCCAGATATTGGTCTTTGATTCGCTGGTTTAGGTAAAAGGGGGGGCCTAGACGTACTATGATCAGCGACAGTGTCCAGCTTTAACTGTCCACCCCCTTTAGGGCCTTTACTCGCCCTTCGAGCAACTTGCATTACTCCAGAAGTATTTCCATGGGATACCCCTAATAGGCAAGTTCATCCTGCTTTTAACATGCCTGGATGCAGGGAATTCTTCTTGAATTTATTACAGCACAATCTTTTCACACACCGCTTTGACCGATGCTTCCAATTGATTCACCAGCATCGCAATCTGGCCAATTTGGAGCATGTCGCACCATCTACGTACCTTCGGATGTAAATATATTTGTACTCCTCATCATTCACCTTATGGACATTTCTCGTCGGTCGAAGAACCAATAGAGCGAAAAAGAAGGGTTGTAGGGCTGTGTGATAATTTGCCAAGTTTGAATGCATCTGACATTTGTGAATTTATATACATTTTCCAGCCAAGTCTGAAGAGGAAGAAACTATATACAAAGATTTGACCGTTTGAAACTAAATCCATCAAGTAGCCCCTATCACAGACCAATTTTGTTTCTGATACGTCAACTCCAGAATTATAATGTCGGCTCAGCAACCACTGCGTGCAAAGTAGTAGAAGCACTCACGGGGCTACGAGTAGCAGCAGGAGCCATAACCGCCAAGGTACTGACCAAGGCAGCGTATGCAGGTTTAGTTGCATACCCCGAGTTGAACAAAAGGGGATTGTTTGACGCTCTCCATGAATCCGGATCACGAACTCCCCATACAGTGATACCAACGCAGTTGGCGATGTCGACACATGCTTTAACAGTATTGATATAGTCATTAGCCGAGGCGTTCACGATATCGACTTCAGTGAGCGCACATTCTGATACTATGGCGCAAAGGGCTTTCAAGGAGGCCGGTACATTTGCCCCTTCGTTCGCCATGAGGTGAGCTTGTGCACCGATTCCGTCAATTGGGATTCCTGCTGCGATCCATTTTTTCACGTAGTTAATCATGCCGGTTGTCTTGGCATAGTTTGCTCCTTTCTCAACGGTGCTAAGACTTCTTAGTGTCCGAGAATCTGAGATGCTTGGAGTTTACTTACTTGTAATCGTTGATGTATAGTTTGGCAGCTGGGTCAGCCGCCCTTGCAGCTACAAATGCGATACGGACAAAGTCCTCGCCCAAAACACGGGAAAATACCGAGTCACGAAGGCCGCCAGATTCGCTAAACATCTCGTTGATAACATCCTAAATATCAATGTCAGCGCACTGCAGTAATTGCTTTATTCTCGGAGGAGAAACGACATACCCATTGAAGAACCTTGCCAGCATATCTTCCAATCTCTTTGGTTACGTGGTTTTGAATGACAGTAGTAAGGGTTTGCTTATTGTTGATAGACGAAACCCAACCTGGCAATTGTGAATGCCAAACAGTGGTATGACCTCTCACAACCTTTCCATTCGTCGTGGCCCAATCAACCAAGAAATCCAAATTTCCAAAGTTGAAGTTATTTTGTGACGATTCGATCGTGTCCCACTTGCCACTGTATGTTGAAGTGATTAGTCGCCTATTCTTATCAGTCGGCTTAGAGAAGAAAACATACGAGTTCTCAGGTGTTATTTGACCAAAATCCGCCTTGATGATTTCTGAATTTTGGGCATTATTCAATAAACTTCTGTCGGCGCAAGTTCCAAAATATTTTTTTCCGAGTTTCTTGAAAACAGTGTCGATAGAGACTTCGCTTCGTGCTCGCTTCTCGAGGCCATTGGTTGTGCCGAGAAGTGCGGCTTCCCAGTCGATATTTCGAACGTCATGGACAACGGCACCGGGGGCTGCGAGAGCAACCAGAGCTGGAGTAAAAAGTATGATCGAGGCACGCATTATCACTAGAATGTAATCAGCTTGAGTCAAGATGAAAATGTATTTGTGTTGGACTCACAAGATGACAAAGTATACCGAACTACACTGTGAAGAAAAGGATAATTCAGGTAATCCAAGTTAAAATAGACCTTCTCAGGAAGACAGACGGTGCGAGAAAGGGGCTTCTTAACAACGTTCCTTTCCACACGATATGCCGTCAGGCTAGAGTATAGTCGTTATGAAATCTCAGATGTAGAAAAATACTTTTTAGCCTACTAATTAACCATAATGAAAATTGATTACATTGATTATTCTAACCTTGGCCTACAAAGCTTCAACATTTTGGAAAATTCGCCCGATATGGGCATATCCAAAGCCATGAAAAGCGGCCTTGTGGTCATCCTTACAATTCTGAGATAGAACTACGTATGTCAAAGTCATGTTGTTTAAATCCTACAAGATTTACAGTCGTAGCGATAAATTACTGGACTACTTCATGTTAACTTAAACAACAGCATTTTTACTGTATTAATGGAGATGGGCCTGGTTTGGTGGCGAAACCCTCAATCTCGGCTAAACTTGTCAACCCTTGTGACTCGAACATCAGATGAGATCAACAAATTATCCAAGCCTCCCAAACTGTCTGCCTGCCACTCGTCCGGTACCTCAACCCAAGATCTCGAATCGTACAGTTTTATGGGGAAACAGGTGTCTTCAAACAGCCTCTTCTTCTCTTTGCGGGGTAGTGGGGGAACCGCCCGTATTTTTGTTCCACCCCCAAGTTTGAGGTAACAACACAATTTCGAGGTAAGAACACGCCCAGGACACGATGAAAGATTGGTTAAGAATACTTTCATGTGAATTTCACCTGGGTTGTCAAGGTTTGTACTGACTCTAGATAAGGAATGCTTCCAAATGTTTACATTCTCGGGACAATCATTTACCCCTGAAAGCATTTTAGCCGAGACGAGTTGAGCCTCAGGAAACCTCGGGTGGCTCATGTCGATATCCATCGGGCTCAGCGGACGCCCTTTCTCCTACTTTGAACTTAATAGGACATTGTAACAAAGCACGTCGAAATAGGTAGCAGAACGATAGGATTTCTATAATTCGTAAGATCCCTGGTCGTTACTCTATACAAACTATATAAAACGTTATTATACTAAACTTCTAGCACAAGCGTAATGTTCGTATTATTATATCTAGGCTAATGAATTTAAGCGGTAATAGTTATTCTAAACTTTTTATAGAACTATTTCAATTATACTACGCTTTTAGAATAAATTTATTCCAGGAAAGGTATAAACAGAGTAACGACCACGTCTTATACAGCTCATGAGATATACGTTTCTTATCACGAAATATAATTACTAGATAATCAGTATGTAATACCGAGAGAGTTCTTCCTAAACAAGTACTAGTTAGTCTTGGAGTATATAAGAATTTATTCTTTATAGTGAAATATGTTTTATTTAAAGTGATATCCATAATTAGCTAATCAGAGAATTAATAAATTCTGAATTAAATATTTCTTTTAAGAAAGGACACCCGAGAATCTAAAAACTAAAAAGTTAATTCCAAAAGTAATAATTCTTTGATTGGTTAATTATAAGTTTCACTATAAGAATTTTAATATTTCACTTCTAAAGAATCAATTTATGTATACTCCGAGGCTAACTAGTATATATATTACTCCCCGACGTACGAAACGGACATGGGCGGATAGGGCACGGGTATTTTAAATTTTTAAAATTAAACTTTTAATTACTAAAATATTACTTATTTTTATAACAAGTGCGCGTAAATATCCTGGTACTACGATAATAAGTAAAATAAAGATATATTCTTGGTTCCTAGTAATTCTAACTATAATTCTAGCTATTTTAAAGGCGTCTTATATAATAACTACTAATTAATAATTTCTTCGAGATATACTAGGATATTTACTATATAAAGGGCCTACTTTTATATTATATTATATATCGAGAAAGTACTAGTTACTTTAGCTTTTCTAGCTATTTTAAAGGTATCCTATATATTAACCGCTAAATTAATAGTTAAATTAATAATTCTTATAAGTTATACTAGTATATTTACTATATAAAAGGCCTACTTTTATATTATATTACCTATTAGTATACGTACTCCCGTACCGGCGCCTACTAAAAAGTCTACTTTCGCTAGTACGTTATATTAATAGTCTTAATTTATTAATAACGCGAGTTAAATAATTAAGCTAATTAAATGTAACGAATACTCAAACTGGCTAACTAAACTTGGCTGGGTGTTCGCTGGTTGGTATGCTATGATAAGAAGAAGACTATCGGGTTGTTCACTTGGAAGTGAACTCGTTACTTGTATCAAAGATGTCAAACTAATATGATAAGATTGATAACTAAGTTGAGCACGAAGCTCCTATCTAATGGCAGACGTGCCAGTCTTATAAAGAACCTTCGTGTTCCTGAAGTCGACAATGTCGACTGTCGACATAGTCGATAATCGACTTCTCGACCAGGCGAGAAGTCGACCTGCATATATCACGTGACTTATATACAAAGAAATTCCTGGATCGCTTAACTAACCTAAGCGATCCCTTTTTGCTATAAGAGCCATGATGTGTTTGCCCTGTCAGAACCCCGTCTGGACTAACTCCTCACGTGCTAGCACGTGATTTGTGACATATAACTAACTCCTTAAAATACTTAAAGATAGACCTTTAGCGTATCTCCTTACGTAATACTACTCTAAAGACTCTAAGTTAATATTATTCCCTAGTACCTAAGCCTATTAGAACTATTATGAAGAATATAACTATAATATTATAGTATTAGGGAGAGAGTTTATAAGAGGATAAGTATAAGGTCGCGTTTTAATTTATTAAGATCTTTAAGCTAGATAAGATTATTTAGAAGAAGAATATATTTATAAATAAGTAGTAGAAGTATCTTAACTAGAACTATGCTAGAAAAGGTAATTTAGTTCTTAAATAATCTTTGGATAATCTTCGTAAGTATATAATGTCACGAATCATGTGCGCGCACGTGATAAGTGAAGACCAGGCGGCGCCCTGACAGGTTGAGCACTATCATAGCTCTTATAGCAAATAGGGATCGACTAGGCTAGCTAGACGATCCAAGGATTTCCTTTGGTTATCAAGTCACATGACGTGGATCATTTGGATCTAAATGATCCATGATCCAGGAGCGTGGATCTGACGATCCAACCACACTCCCGTGGAGAACGAAGGTTCTATATAAGACTGGCACGTCTGCCATTAGATAGGAGCTTCGTGCTCAACTTAGTTATCAATCTTAATCAAGTCACATGACGTGGATCATTTGGATCTAAATGATCCATGATCCAGGAGCGTGGATCTGACGATCCAACCACACTCCCGTGGAGAACGAAGGTTCTATATAAGACTGGCACGTCTGCCATTAGATAGGAGCTTCGTGCTCAACTTAGTTATCAATCTTATCATATTAGTTTGAGATCTTTGATACAAGTAACGAGTTCACTTCCAAGTGAACAACCCGATAGTCTTCTTCTTATCATAGCATACCAACCAGCGAACACACAGCCAAGTTTAGTTAGCCAGTTTGAGTATTCGTTACATGTAGGGTGACAAGGCGTGCAACAGGTTACGGTAAAAGAAACCACTAAAAGACTCGCATTTCTTTCGCCTGGGACGAAGTAACAAGACCTTTGCAAAGATAGCTGGTTACACCCTGCTGTTAAGCTTATACCGTAACTGAAATTTACACTACCGTCTCGCTCCTGTTGCTTCTGAGAAAGGTGTACTTTCAGATCAAAACTCGGAACCTTTTATTTAGACCGTTTAGCCTTCTAACAGCTGTCTTTGATGGACACTTCGAATTAACAGACCATATTACAGGTAGAGGAATCTCTTATATATAAGCTAGATTGTAGCCTATGTTGATGTTTTCTCGAAACAACACATGGGTACTGTACTATAGTGTATATTAATGAGGTGGGTTTGGACTGAAGTTTTAGCGCTAGGTACCCAAGGAAAGACCAAACACACTTCACAGTGCCTTCGCAAAAGGAGAAAGTAAGATGTTTCATGAATCAAGAATATGTGGCAATAAGGAAACGCATAAAGAAAAACCCTGTAGAATACTCTGAAAGGAACTAGTAGATAGCCTAGTATCATGCTACCTCTGCGAAGGGACAGTTATCCCAATGATACTCGATTTCTACTGTTGCTAATAGTATATATTGTTACCTTTGACCCCATACCACCAGGTACAGTTATTAAAAACCCGGCAATCTACCAGCACTACAACTTTTCTTACCATGTAACCTATACCTACGCAAATACACCAAATCTCAATTATAACACTATGCGTCTCTTAATTATCCAAGCTCTCCTTACTCCTCTTGCGCTCTTCAGAATGGCAGAGGCGACGTCGTGTAAGGGTAATAAAGACTGCCCGCAGGTCTGTGGATCAAACTTCCCAGAGTGCCAGTAAGTCCTCGTTCATGAATTGTTCCGCACGGATGCTGATATTTATTGTGATAGTGGGTTTACTGCTACCAAGCCTGGTACTTGTGTATGTGTACTGTAACAGATTTGATTCAGTGTAACAGATTTGATTCACTGAATCAAATCTGTTACATGTACCAAAGGCCAGCACCTAAAGACTTCGCGGATGTTAGGAAATGGGATTAGAGGAGAATACATGGTGACATGGCATGGACGACCGGATATCTAGAAGCAATGAGTTGTTGGGAGAATGGAAATCCTTGGTTGCTGTAGTTACGAACTTTACGCTGTTCATCTCGTTTTCTTTCTCTTCGGGTCCTGAAAAACGTCGGATTTATACCTTGCACACACTTCATTTAAAACCACATACAAATGCGGCCCAAGTTATAAAAGCAATAGCTAACTCAAAATTGAGTAAACTACTACCCTTTAAGTAGGTAGTTGTTAAACAGTGTTTTCACCTCACTAATGTACAGCGCTGCATGATTACTAGAAGAGAGCTCGTGGGCGGGGAAACTCTGACGTTTTTTCAAGACCCGAGCTCGTTCAAAAGAGCCCATGTAGATTAATGATGTGTGGTAAAACTTTGAATTGTTGTTGAAGCACTTATTAGTAGTCCGTAACCACAGCAAGGCATTTCTTCCGAGTCAGTAGCAGTGGCAGTACAGTAGGGTGGCTCCTTTACTAGACTACCGTAACGCGGCAATTGGGGCAACCATTCACTCACTCTTTAATCTTACTCTTACCCTAAGTACCCCTATCGACAATCGAAAGTTCTGCGTTTGATTTGTTGCGCGTGGATGATGTTGGTGATGTTGTTGGTGTTGGTGTTGTACTTGTACTGCCTAGCGCGCTCCACCTATGATTTTCCTGGGCAAGCTCGTCAGAGCCTGCCATGGCTGCGGGAGCCACCCGAAGCACAACCCGATTAGCCCCCCACGTGCCCCGCTCCCCCCACAACGACATCATCACTGTAAGCTTCCCTGGAGCTGCGCTGACGAAAAAGAAGCGACGACGCTACACCTACACCTGCAGAGGTACTTGACCGTGTGACTACTCTCTACCTACTCTCCCCTCCCACCATCTAACCACAACATCTCAAAATCCCTCGATCCCCTCGTTCCTCCTAGTGAATCGACTATGGAATCCACAACCGATAACTAGAAGAGACTCAGCTATCTCATCCCACTGCCTTGCTCTCACTCCTCCTCCCACTCCCACTCCCACTCCTTACCTCGCCCTCGCGGTACATGTATCGATATCAGTAGTCCTTCCTTCCCTCGCCTCTCCATCTCCATATCCAGCTTCACCGGCTCTGCGTTCCACCAGAAGCCCACTCCCACTCCCACGTCCACGTCCACTCCTGCACCCACGCAACCTCACACGAACCAGCCTTGTTGAACCTCAATTCCGAGTCATCATCACCGCCTCAAAAATTGCGTTGCACTCGGAAAGGGAGTCCAATTCGCGACAATAGTGTTGCAATGGCATCCAAAACCAGCGGACATTTGCAGAAGCCTAGCCTCATCGATCGCCGAAAATCTTCGACCCTTCACTACCAAACCTTTCCCACTCCTCCTCCAAAGTCCCGTGGAAGACCACCAGTGTCACCCACAAGTTCGTCAGGCTACCCCGATGGTTCTGCCAACCCGCCACATCAACCCGGCGATGAGGATGAGCATCAGAGCTCCCCCCTTCCTACTCGGCAATTGGCCATCCTTGCGGTCATAGCCTTAGCAGAGCAGACGGCGTTCAATTCCATATCGCCTTACCTACCCGAAATGACTTCGACCTTCTCCGAAGTCAATGTGGAAAGTTTGGGGTTGTACGTGGGCATAATTGGCTCTTCCTTTGCGCTGGCTCAGTTTGCGACCAATTTCTTTTGGGGGTGGTTGAGTGACAGGATAGGCAGAAAACCCGTGGTGATGATGGGAACGGCCATGACAGCAGCATGCTTCGTGGCCTTTGGCTTCTGTAGAACACTGTGGCAAGCAGTGGTGGTGCAGGCTTTTATGGGTCTGGTCAACGGAAATCAGGGAGTGGTGAGTACCTGCCTGGGTGAAATTACGGATCGAAGTAACCAAAGCAAAGCCTTTGTATACCTTCCCGTGATTTATGGAATTGGAGGCATTACTGGGCCGGCTCTGGGGGGCTTATTGGTTGCACATGACAGTGCATACCCGTACCTGTTACCCAATCTCTGCTCCGCAGCCATTTTGCTCGTTGACCTCGTTCTCACAGGCTTTTTCTTGGAAGAAAGTTTGGAAGAAGCAAAGGATCTACCATCTCTTCAGAAACGAGTTACATATTTGTTTAGCTGGATTTGGCAATTTGCTGGGGGCGCTCGACGTCCAACGTATCTTCGTAGACACATGCATCGAGATGCACGACATCGAGACTCACAGCTCAGAGCCCATGGAGCTACAGACGAAACGGCAGACGATTCCGTATCCGATGTTGATAGTGAAAATCACTCCTTACTATCTGTCCCTGATTTGTTTCCCCAAAACAATGGTCATCTTGGTAAAGAAATACTCAACAGAAATACGATGCTCCTGCTAGGCACGTATCTGATCTTCCAACTTTCGAATATCTCCTTCAACTGCTTATATCCCATTTTCGGTGAAGCATCAGCTCCTACTGGTCGTGAGCTTGAGCCTTCAGAGATAGGTCTATCACTTTCTTTTGCTGGAATAATCACCATTGTTTTCCAAGTTGGTATTTTCGGGAGGTTGAAAGAAAAGATGGGTAACAAAGCAACATACAGGGCAGGTCTGTTTTTATTCTTCATTTCCATGATGATAATGCCTTGGGTAGGGTATCGGGATTCCCCAGCTCCTTTTGGCTGGGGGTCTGGCGAGACGTGGTTGTGGCTTGAGCTTGGATTCGTCTTACTTTTGAAGACGGTCGCCGCAGTTGGTGGGTTGACAAGTGCGCTCTTACTGGTATTTGACTCCCCCCAGAACCATCTCGTATATCTGTCTGACTGTAATGCGATTTCTTAGATCACGAATTCAGCACCTAACCACTCAGTTCTTGGGACGCTCAACGGCCTTGCTCAGACCCTTTCCGCTGCGGGCCGCGCCGTAGGACCCTTCGTCTCGGGTGGTCTCTTCTCCCTCTCGACCCGCGTTCAACCCAAAGGTGAGGCGTTTGCATGGGGCCTATTTGGTGGCATCGCATTTATCGGATGGCTTCTTAGTTTCGGCATCCGAGGGGAGGAGCTCGAAGGCGCGGATTGGGAGGGAAGCGAGACTCAAGACGACGAAGATGATGACGATTTAGAGAGCGATGCTGGTATCGACAGGAGATGAATGTTTTGAAATTTCTTGATTTCTTTGCTGGCTTTTTACTTTACATGTTTCTTTTTGGGACGGCGATAAGGCGTTAGATAAGGCAGGCAGGCATAAATAGCGGAGTTCTTTAATGTGCAATATTGGGTGGGTCGGTGGGGGATTAGAGATGATGGACGGATACAGCACAGCACAGTACAGCGCATTTAGATATGTATTACGAGATTTGGGAGTTCAGAGGGCGTCATGGGATTGTAAATGGAAGAAAGAGGGGAATGATGATACCTAATTATGAGATGTTACTTAGTTGTACATGTACTGTAAGACTTACATGTTTTTTGGAAACCCTGTGTGTACGGTATCTCCTTTGGTTGTGAGAAGAGACTGTTGAACTTGTTTATTTTCTTCTTTTTCTTGGGAGATTTGGAGAGAGAGGATGTGCTCTTATGGTAGTAATGGAATTGATAAAGGGAATGGGAATGTAAAGGAAGGTAAAAAGTGGAACGTAGAGGAGGTTTTGGGTTAGTGGTGAACTTTTCTAGTTTGAGAGAAGAGGTGTTAATAAGGTGATTTTTGTAAAGAGTTCTTAGAAGACGTTTTTACAACGATTTCACATTCACGTTCATCCCGCTCAAAGATGCAGCGTTCGGCAACTGGAATTCCATTCCATACCAGACCCCCCTTATGGAATATACCATGCCATTTGTACGAACCTCTGGAATATACCATTCCATATAGGGTAGTTCCATGGCATGCCATGGAACAAATCCACGTGACCCAGAGTAAAGTTTCCCCGGTCTGAAGACTAATAGAAATAACCCCTCTAGTGCCTCTATTTAAACGCCGCTTGCAAGCGTATAACAACTCTACTAATTATAGGAGGTTGTTTGTAGACAAGTGATTAACTAGATCAAAAGATATATACAAGCTCCCTTAGTTACCCTCGATACGTAAAACATATCCTTTATTTAGCGCCGAGAGTTAGTGAATAGTACTCGAGTACCTAGCCCTAGGTATACGAATAAGCTATTAGCTTGGTACGTGCTCGTCACGTGTTTTGGAATTCTATAACTCCATGGAATACCAGAGCCTATTCGACGGAAATAAGTGTGCTATTTATGAGGACCTCTAACAATATTCTATATGGAATAGAATTATGGAATCTATGGAATCGAGTACCATTTGCCGAACGCTGCACAGATGAAGGGGACACATATATTATTAGACCAGCACCTAGGGTTTCGAGAGCCCTAAGGTACCACACGCTCTTTCAATTCCTATTCCTATTCATAAAAACAGAAGCCTAAAGGCTGGTTACAATAGTAGTACAGTAGTAGGGATATAAATGCTGAGGTATAAATAGGGATGGTGGCGGGTGAGAAAAAGAGCTTAGCGTACGCATCTTACGCGAAGGGCGGGATATGAGAAGTTCTTGTAGGTCGGTAGTTCTTATGTGGTGTAGAAATATTTTTTGTAAAGTGGACTTGGGGGTTTAGTTGGTGTTTATGAGGAGAGATGGCGCTGTTTGGTTATGTTGTCGTTAGGGGAGGGAGGGAGACTGCGTAGTCGCCTTTGCGTAGGATGATGGTTAATCGTGTTTCTTGGGTTGGATTTGTGATAGGGATTGGAAATTGTGAGGTTGATGAAACTGGGTTGAGGGTTGAAGTAAAGGGTGTTGAGGGGGTGAGTGTTTGGTGAGGATGAGATGGGGGTGGGAGGGGTGTAGTGGGATTTTGGGATTTTGGTGTGGGATGCTGCGAGGTTTCTTACTCGTCTAGGGATGGGAGTGAGTCGTGGTTGTAATTATGATTACAAAATTCCAATTTCGGTACATATACTTTTAGGGCATGTTTGGCTATGCAAATCTCCCCATGTAAATTAGGTGTAAAAGTCGAAGAATTACATAGGCTAGAGGACCCTAAAGAAATATTTAAACGTTTCCTGATTTATATACAAATTAGACTATTCTAACGAAACAAATACATTACTGTTTAGCTTGTACAAAAATGATTTATTTAAGGTATAAATCTTATATACTTATACCTCTCGCCTATCCCTACCTATCCTTTTAATAGGTAGTGTTACTATTATAGTATCCCTCCTATAATTTTGCCTTAGCCTCCCTCTCCCCCACCCCTTCCCCGGGCGCTCTTTTTACGCCTACGCTTTATAGCTATAAATTAGCTTAGTATTACTTTCTATTAGGATAGGGGATAGTATAAGGGATAGTAGAAGGAATAGTATAAGGGGAAGAGGGATAGTATAGGAGAATATTGATAGAGAGAATTATATAGAGATTTATAGAAAAGAAAAAGAATTAGAGGATTAAGACTTTAGTTCTGTCGGTATATAATTATGGTGATTAGCACCTCGTACGAGAGCTTGGTGGTTCTACATGCTTGGTGTCATGTGAGTGGCTTGCCACCCACATACTTAAGCTCGTAGAGCACCACATCTCTCTACCTTTACTCTTCACGAACAAATGAATACACCGATTTAGTTACCTCCAAAGAGAAGGTGACCTGAATCCCGTATTCGCCGTCGTCACGACCACCAGGTCGTACCAACAAGTTCTTTTATAAAGTTTTTTTAGTAGTATAAATCTAAAAAGATTTATAATAGATTTAAGTTATAACTAATTTAGAAAAAGACTTATATAGCTATCTAAATAAGCGTAACTTATATATCTTAATTTATATACAAATCTTATATAAAAAGATATAACGTGGTTTATCAGCGAGTCGATCATATCACCCAGTCGATCACTTTTTCTTGGCACAGAACTTTACACCTAAATAAATCAACCACAATATATTAAATTAATTATCGCTCTCTATATCTGACGAACTAGATATATCTATAACTTCTTGGCAAGTTCGCGCGTTATGACCAGCTTTTCCACAAGTTCTACAGCGCCGCCTAGAAGGTTGCCCCTCCTTATAACCAACCCCCGCCTCACGCATGTCGCGTCGTACTTGCTCATCTACATCCTCCTGAGCTAACATATCCTGTACATCCTCTACTATAAGTGCCCCTCCTTGGCGGACACGAGTCTTTTTAGCCCTACGGCGTTTACTTAGGGCTTCATTTGCAGCGCGAAGGGTACGGACCTCAGCAGACAAAAGGGTCATCTCATGTGCCATTCGCTCTGTACCCTTTGCTAACGCAGCAACTGTTTGAAAAAGTGGAGTTGGCGAGCTTCCTTGATGACAGGCTATACGATTTCGTACAAGAGTTGATTGTGAAAGGGCTTCAGTTGGGTTGGAAGGGGTCTGGGACACCCAGGGGAGGGAGTTGGCACTACACGTCCGAGGGGGAGTTGGAGTCCGTAACCTTACGTCAAGCTTTGAAAGCACTGCTTGCGGGTTAAATGGTACTAGGCCAGCTCCGCGGAATCCAGACTGACAGTTTAGGACTGTCATTGTTTCCTTGTATGCTGCTGTAAAGGCTAGAAAGAACTCAACCTTTGTAATATGGTTGATATGGGCCTTGATAAACGTCTCAATCTGCCGACCATACGCTCGTTTTAACACACTATAGCACCCAACATCAAGTGGCTGGGTTAGATGGGATGAATGAGGAGGTAGTCCAAGAGTAATAATGTTGTGTTTCGTACAGTAGTCTTGGAACTCAGCCGATTCATGACTCTCGTGCCCATCCAAAACTAGTATTCGATACAGACCCTTTGCACGAGCTGTAGTGTGTTTATCAAAGTGCTTTAACCATTCCAGGCCTGTTTCATTATTTGTCCAACCATTGCTTGTCGGTTTAATAACCCAGTTAGGTGGGAGGCCGCCGTCGGTATACCAGTTGGAGAGATGGTTCTTGCCCTGAACTACCAAGAATGGAGGAATACTCCAGCCCTCCCCATTAATACAGGCAATTGCTGTAGCCCATTCCCGATTGCCTGGCTGAACTGCCTTGCCTCTACCACGTCGGTCTGCACGAGTAACAACCATTCTAGGACAAATAACACCCATCATAAAGCCTGTCTCGTCGAAGTTGTAGAAGTCGGAGTCTGTAACCCCATATTTCGCCCTCATATTCTCTACTAGCCGGAACCATGCGCCTAGCACGTCAGGATCTTCGCATAAGGCCCTCTGGAAGTCGTAAACGCGATTAAAACGCGTCTTAAGGTCTGGTTGTCGTTGTACGAATCGATGGGCCCAGAGCTTGCCGACGCGTCTTCCCCCCCGCGATTCAAGGATAAAATTAGCCATATCTTCTACACCAGCGAGCCGGGGCGCAAATCCTCTGGAATCCATATCCAGTATATACCGAATAATCACTTCCTCTTCTAACTCAGTCAACTTATGACAATTGGCTTGAGAATCTGGGCGGTAGGTTCGGCCAGCCATTCTGTCGGAAAGAGTCGTATATGGTACATTGTAGATCTTTGCCGCAGAGCGTTTGCTTAGTTTTTTGGACGACCGAATAGCCTCGATAGCTAGAGTAATTCGCGCTTCTTGAGTTTGAATTTCCATGGTAAATAGTTGAAGAAAACGTGTGTTGAAGTTTGAGGAGGTAGTGCCAAGGAAAAGTGATCGACTCGGTGATATGATCGACTCGCTGATAAACCACGTTATATACAAATCTTTTTATATAGTACAAATCTCTAAATTTGCGTAGCCAAACATGCCCTTATGGCGTGCGTTTTGGTGACTTTCTTGGGTTTCTCGAGAACGTCACAGGTGCAGTCACTATCACATTCACAAAATTCAAACATGTCAGTTTTGAGCGTTACCATCAAGCCTTGTCAAGAACAATTAGGGGTACATAAGAAGCGAGAAGCGAGAAAGGAAGAAAATAGGAAGCGCGAGACGAGTACATGTATGGTTAGGCAGAACTGTACCGCCAAGATGAAATGGCAGAAACGAATGGAATCATTTCCTACCCCCTCCCCTATATGAGAGATTTTCTTCGCAAGTCGCTTTGTGGAATTATGCGCATACCCTCATAAAACCGCGAGGAAAGAGTCATCATCTCTACTCATAAGCGAAAGATGACAGGTCCCAGATGTGGGGATACTTTTCGCCCCCATACCAAGGAGAGGATTTTCTAAGTCATTCCTGCGGTAGCATTTCGGCTCGCTGATTCGACGAAGTGGAACAAAAATGATGGAATCAATTATACTCCATACCTGTAAGCATGTCATGAATCTCTGCCACAAGCCTGCATTTACGACTTAAATCTCGTCATTTACACATGACACCAGCGAAACGGGAGGGGCTTAGAGCTTGGACGGGAAGGAAGAAAAGGGTAGGAAGAGGCTGTTTTGACGTTTTCATGCCGTCTAGGAAGATCTGAAGGGTATTTTTGGGAAGCCAGAAGAGTGAGATGGGGATGGGATGTGAGAACGGCGCGGGTGCTGGATTATGGACCCCAAATCTTTGGTTGCTTGACGATGTGATGAAGGGTAGAATGTTGGCATAGCGTGGTGTAAGCGAAGTGATGAAGAAATGATTCTTTTTGTTTCCTGATCTTGGCATTTGGGTACTGTATATGTGTTGGATAACGAGAGACATGTTGCCAAAGTTTGTGTAGGTATTTTACTATTCCGTCAAGGTATACAGTATAATCAGAAAGGGATACTGACACGAGAGCAAGAGTGTCACAATGCGTCAATAAAATCTCCATAACACCCCACCGCTCAGTTTCCTTCCCCGGGAAACGCGGCTAACACACTCCAATATCTGCCACTGCAGGAAGGTAACGTGAGGTTCACCTGCTGCGGCCGGCGCTTAAACGCATTCTAGTCGGTGGTGAGATTTCCATGCATGCAGCACACGCCTACCCTACCCGTCCCAACCACCAAGCCAGGCATCAAGGAAGTAAATAGATTGATTACCTGAACCAAACACCATATCCCTGGGTGTATATCGCGCATCTCGACCCACACAGTGTAGTGAAACGACTTACGCATATGTACGCATCACGTTTCTAGAATGAAGAAAACATGTGCGAGATCACACTTGGCGGGCTACAGCGCCCATTTGGGGGCTACCGACTCGACGGACCATTCCTGCGACCTGACTTCAATCCCATTCCCGGGATGGCTTATATGGGGGCCGGTCTTGCTACCGAACGAGAAGTAAGCCTCATTCGGAAGTTTCAGACAAAAACGGATGGGATGCAGGCCTATCTTGGATTTGTCGTACTGGAAGTAAGCGAGATAATGCTTAGGATTGTAATTGAAGGTGGTAGATTCGGTTATTAATGCTGCGGAGGTAGATAGAGACAGGAGACTTTGACGAGTGCGACTTTGACTCTGCAATAATTATGAAATGTCTAACCAAACACTTAGTATATATTTCTTTGTTTGATCTTGATTTTTGGGGGCTACAGTTGAATTAGATAGATAGATAGGTTAAACATGCATTTTTACAAAGTGACGAGCAAGATAATGCGATAGATAGAAGTCACATCTGGCTGCTCATGGACAGATGGATTCTTTCGTTTCAGTGCCTTGGATGACTCTTCATTACTTTATCTATTCCTCAAAGGCAGATCTGTAATGATTTGCAATCCCATAATTAGATCTAACAATAAAATCTTTGTTTATTGAGTTACATGACCTTCGAGGATCCAGCGGGAGTGGGCGGAATGGGTGGAGTGGTGGCTCATCGTGGCGCTTCCAAAACAGCCTTACTATATAAACTGTGTAACATCCCGGGTACGAGATTGATTGAATACGTTCAGTGGCGGAGATACTACAAGGAAGTGTGGAGATCGGACTGGGGACACATGAGATTTTGGAGAAGCTAAGTGAAACCATGAGAGTAGAAGAGTGTTCTGAAAATCCTTCTTTAATATAGGAAGCAGAGTAGATATATGAGAAAAGAGAAAACAAAATAAGAAAACATAATGAGCCTGTGTTTTTGTTGGTATAAAAAAAAGGAAACCCGTCTAGTTAATTGAACCCAACTTGCGCCTTTGCTCCTCCGCTAATACCAGGATATGAATGCCATGCCTAATGAAATGAAGAGAAAACCAGCAAAGAAATAAAACAATTGAGATAAAATGATCAGCTCGCACGCGCCCCTGAATGATTTCGCTCAAAGAAACCAACGAAAGAGAATGAATAAATCTTCCTAGAGCGACACGAGGAAGGATAGTAAACTAGAAGAAAATAACGAGATTCGTGCATGGTTCGAATATTGTCTGCTGATAATACATTGACTTAGTAGCCAGTGGTAGTTGGAGGGGTCTCCCAGTGTCGTAGCATCTGATCGAGTGCCATTTTCCACTCGTATGCGAAGCAAGCAGCCAACTGTTGAGCTTCGTCCGGCTCAGGAACCCGACCACCCCACATTTCAGGCTTGTTGGCTTGGGCGGAGGCGTAGGTATCAATCATTTCGCTAAGTTTCAAGCTCAGTTTTGCTAGTTCGGAGCAGGTACTGGATCAAGGGGCAGAAGACTTACTCGTCCTTTGTTTTCACCAGTACAAGCCAGGCATAATTCCAGCTACGGTTACTGTCTGGATCATTACTAACTCTCCACTTAGCAGCATCTAACATATCACTGCTGAAAGGATAGTTTCGAGTAAGATTGCGAAGCTCGCTTAACAAGTTATTCGACGTCACGTAGTAAGTCCACGCGGAAGTCATCGGGGTCTGGAAGGCGAAAGCATCGGCGTCGGATGATTCAGCAGCAACCCGCTCGATGCGGCGAAGCTCTGTAAGTGTGTTGACCCGGTGAGTATTGAGGGATTCAATGAGTGCTGGGACATCTCGCTGAAAATGTGTTAGTCTCGCGTGTTTTGGACTGAATTACATATCTTGATGTGGGAGATGGCTAGAAACAACACTCTTGCTTCCAGATATCAAGCCCAACGAGATGATATTACGGAGAACTTGATAATGAGGGCAAATTATAAGAAGGGTGGTTTACGAATATGAAGCCACTACTCACATGCGTTGTGCGGCGGGAGCTCTTGCTAGAGCTGCTTGCGCCATGTGGGCGTTTGGTATGGCGGTCAGACATGGTATGAAGTTAAGGTGCTTGAGGCTTGGATGGGGTGTTTGTGGTTTTCTGGGGTTTCTTTTCCAAAGTGATATAAGAAACAATGCAATGAAGGCTTTGATTCCGAAGGTTTCAAGGGCGAAAGGAGGTTGAAGGTGCTTGTGTGGTATGATGAATGGAAAAAGGACCATTGATGCTCATATATACAGCAGACAGTCGTAGTACTGTGGCTGTAAACATGTATCAATCCTTTCCTATTTAATCAATCATAAGGCCGTCTTTGGGTTTTGTGGCAAAATTTGTGAAGTAACATCAGGACATGCATACTTCCATGGGCAAAAGATGACGAGTTATGTAGGCAGACCAGCCCCAAATAGAAATAAGAAAGATGCATGGAATCTACAGCATAGTTTTGACAGTTCAGGGCCAACTTAGGCATTCCCAGTTATTGGCCTTGTAAGGCATTGAGCCACTTAGCGGCGGTTCACATACGGCAACAGCATACTTGGAAAGCTCAGCTACTTGCAGCAATGGTCCACTAGAGCTTCAAATCAACCACTGCTGGATTGTGTGGGGGGACTGGGACCAGGCAGACGGGCAGTGTAAGAGGATGACCACCTCCGGAGGACTACTGTATTTGATAACGGATGAGTTCAAGGGTCTGGCTGATGAGGAAAGTGTGATCGAATGCCACACCCAGAGTTCTAAGGGACGTCGTTTAAATAAGACTCCTACAAAGAGGTTTCCAAAACAAGCGATTTCACGTTTGACTCCCTTAAAATCACACGTAGGGATATTGCGGCAGATGGGACAATGTGGCTGACCTAGATCTTACCTGTATGCCGTCACCGAATCTTAGTTTGGAAGCGACTGGAAAGCATTGAATCTTTCGTTTTGAGCAGAGTGTCTGGGGGATTGACAGCCTTTTGCCCTTTATGAACTTTGGTGGCTCAAATTTACAGCTGTGATTGGACAATGTAAACAAACTTTGCTTGTGCGATGAGTTCTCCCAGGCATAGGATACTCCAAACCTTTGTGATTGTCAGAAGTGGCTTCTGATATGCGTAGAAGGATGTTTTCGATTATCCACCCTAAAAAAGGCGAGATACTTGCAGGGGCCCCAGTAGATTTCTTCCGTTGTGTCGTGGCGAATGAGAATGCTAGTCAGCAATGATCCCCCACGGCATTTTTAGCCACAGCCCCCCATCCTCAAATACGACTCAGATGGAGTAATAAGCACATTGGAATCATCGCCAGAGTTCCACATTATCTGTAACTTGTGACTCCAAATCTTTCTTAGGTAGCGTCTTGGGAACAAGGACAGTTAATCAGCCAGAATCTAACACAGGGTGACCATTTCTCATGGGGCACCAGTTGATAAGTTTACACGATATTCCGCTTGGCACGCTGCGGCGGCGGAGTGGTGGAAGCCTTTGGGATTATGGAAGACGTTGGAGGCGGAGGCAGTGAGGATGGTGCGGGTGCGTAAACGGCTTGCACGTCCTCTTGAAGATGGAATCCGGGTATAGATGGATTCCATAAGCACGCCTGTACGAGTAGATATACATTAAACCATGTACAACATGACCATTTGGGACCGAAAAGCCGCAACGGACGTAATTGAAAACGTCCCTTAGCGGCGGAAAGTGGGACTAAGGGCCTCAATCGATGGATATGGACAAAAAGTACGGTATCCAGCTTCTAACATCCGTTCAATGGGCAAGACAGAGTGTTGAGAATTTTGATAACTTGTAATTGAACCCTGAGCAGTTTGGATGGATGATGGACGTACGGGTATTGCGGCATCATTGAGATAAGACCCGGCCTGGCCGATGCCCTTGGTTGAGCTGGTGAAAGAAGTTTTTTGTGGTTGTCGACGTAGTCGTCGTCCTCAATTGTGGAATAGGTAGACGATTGGTGCCGATTCGTGCATATCGATGTGACCAATGGGTGATCATAGTGCGGCGACGCACTTGGATGGGAGGGGAGGTTGTTGCCATGCACTCAAGTGATGCACTCAAGCGATGCACTCAACTCGCCGTATTCAACGACACAGAATCAGATCCAAATAGAGTTGCGGCGTACAGTACACAAATAAACTGTGTCAATATAGGTGATTGTAACGATTACGATGCAAAATCAGGCGCCGGTCACCTGTCCCGCAACAAGTTATGGTATTGACGATGTTAAGGCTGATGGTGGTGGTGGTGTGCGAAAGAACTGGAAGGGAAGCTGGAAGCGTGGGATTACAGCCCCACAGATGCCTGAGAAGCACCTTGCTCGCGTAAGATGCCTTACCAAGGCTAACGAAAGCCAACGACATCCGTAAGGATCAACTACATTCTTCTTTAATTCCGTTGAAAGAATTCATTTATCAATCCCATCTCCTTTTTGTTCCTCTCGAGGCTTTTTGTTCCCTCTTTGTCTCTTGAAGATAAATATATAGACCCGAACATGGTGGTGCCTCTTTTGCCACATTAATCTTTTGTAACCTTCTCTTTTGGTATTTCACAATTTTCTTTTTTTCGGATTTTCTGTGAAGTTAATGAAATCGAGGCTCAGAGACTAGAGAAAGCCAGATTTAACATTAGAAAGGAAGGGCTAAAAGCACCAGGATCACTGAAATGTTCAAGCCTAGGCTATTCGTGGAAGTCAGGAGGGAGATACTCACGAAAAAGAATCTGCCTCAAACGACCGGAAAACAACAGTTTTATCAGAGTTGCAATAGGTAGTATCCTCCGGGAATGAGTGACAAAAACAGCGGTTATCATCAGCCCTGGGATTTGGAATCAGGAGCCACCATCTCGCCTGGGCAGATTAGAAAACCTACTTGTTGAATTCGACGAGGAGGATAGAACACTGTCATAACTATATTTTTACTAAGGGGAGTTTGCAACTCGATTGACTCGAAGTACACAAGATGAACGTGTTTTACACTCTAAAAGATACTAGAGTACCATTGCCTATATTAAAATTCCCTATAATTCCGCGATCATCGTATCATCTTAGGCTCAGATCTGTTACTGCGGGTTTTTTGTAAAAATCTCATGTCACTTTTTCCATCTCCTGGGAGAAAACATAGAAAAGGCTATAAAGTAGATCTCACATTACCTACCCGAGTGCCTTATAACAATGTTTATTTGAGAGATGAAGAAAGGAGAAAAAATCGTTTGAATTTATGGCAATACTACGAAAGATATCTACAAGAGAGTAAAACGAAAAGAAGAAAAAGGGAGACGTAAAAACACAAGCAGGTATTCTGCTGGTGGTCACCCGCCCACCTACTAATCTGCCGATCTGAGGCTTGTATATGGCAGAGCGGACGGGATGCCCAATTCTCCTTAGTCTATGGTCGTATGTGACAGCTTGAGTGTTGTTTAATCATATAACTACGCAATTCCGAGAAATATACAACCTCTCATCTTCGTGAATGAATTGTTGTGGAGAATATTACATTTCGGACTAACAAAATTCACTTCGACATGATTGGAACGGGTCACGTGACAACTACAAGTATTGAAAATCAGTTTTTAACCAGAAAGTATATTCGACGTCTCTGGCATTCTGGTATTAGCTTGCGGGAAAAAAAAGGTCAACTACTTAATTACTACTATTAAAAACGTAACAAAAATGTAACCAAAGTACATATGAATCTCCCTCGGATATCAGTGCTCGTATCCCACATTGCTTTGTAAACTCTGTACAGAAGATTTTTAAATCACAACTGCTATGACGTAAAATTATATTGGCCACCAAGCTAAAAGGGGGTTGTTCAGAAGGCTTACTTTAGAGCTAGAATTTATAAACATTTCCGAGGGCGGACCGACTATCCGTAATGTAGCCAGTGTATCCGGGCTTGCTGTGGGGGTCCGACCGATTGAGCTCCGTACTAAGTACCTCATTAGTACTTAATTACTCGAATACTTGGCTCCAAGTCCTCAAGTATGAGTTGAGTAGTGGCACTTAATAATCCGAGCTTTCTTCCTCTACGTCGAGGATGTACTTCGAAGTCAACAAGGACTATTACTCAACGCAACTACTTACCTTTTGTACGCTATCTGTTATTACTCTGGAAACATGAATCACGCCCAGAGGATCTGGAAAATATGCATGATCTTCGTACATTTCCTCAAGTTTATGTTCGTCTAAACCCCCGCAAAGTTGATCATTACCATTACCCCCCCTCAGAAATTCAAAACCATCCAAGCTTAACCTTGCGAAAACACTTCTAAGCCCCAGTCTTCTGCGTCAACATATCAAGTGGCATACCGGCAAAAACCTCACTTCTCTTTCCTACCGTACTGTTTCCGAACCCCTCATATTTCCCCACACTTGGTGGCAAATCCTCTACTCTCGTCCCCCACGCACTTTCCGTACTCCCTAATGTCAGAACCAACTCCTTTCCCTCCGTGAAGAACGAATGATCAATCCAGTTCTTGGTATAGGGCTCTCCGTTCAGAGTCGCAGATTGGATGAAGATATTCTGGTAAGAGGGATCAAAATTGACATTCCGGATGGTGGCCGTCTTTTTAGTAAGTGGGGAGGTGGTGGAGACGGATTCAAAGTATGGCGGTGTGATGAAATACACGTTTTGTCCCGGGTTTGGGAAGAGTCCCATCATAGAGAATGCTACGAAGGCGCCCATCGTGCCGCTGTCGTCGTTGCCTGGGAGACCGTCGACGGTGATGCCGAAGTACTTGGGGATGTAGAAGTGAGAGCGTTTTGCTGAGAGAGCGGGACGGCCAGCGTAGTGGTATTGGAAGACGGTCAAGAAGGAGGGCTCGTTACCGATGTAGGTTATTTGTTTGTCGTGCATGAAATCTAGACGCTTGACAAACTCGTTCGGGCCACCGAAAACGATGATCAACGAGGCTTGATCGTGTGGGACGAAGCTATGGCAGATTTAGCGTGATTGATCATCGGTTTCGAGGCAAGACTTACAAGGAGTATTCCCAAATGCTACTTTCGAAGGTCTCCCCGGCTGTATTTTGTAGGGAGCATACACTTCCTGGATTCGGATCGATGTTACTGCACTGTAGCGGATCTTGGAAAGCGAACGTCTTGTTGAAATACTTGGGTTGGAGAAAGCCGAAAAAAACTGTATCAGTACCATTGATCTGACCACCATTCTGATCTTTGTTGAAAAGATTCTTCCAATTCCCACTGCTGGCAGTATATTTCTCAATATCCCCTTCTCTCCCGCCAAGACCTCGGCCAATTTGCGTGATTGCAAAATCATTATAGCAGTACTCGAGAGTTCTTGACAGACTTCTCGTGAAAGTGCCCGTTCCTTTGTAGTCGAAATCTTCCTTTGGGATATATCCCAATGATTTCCATGAATCGAGGCCTCCTCTTCCTTCCACAGACCAAAAGAATGGTTCCACTTCTGCATCTTTGACTACTGCTGCATACCCGGTCTCCCAATCTATTCCCTCGGATATACCCTTGATGTAGGCGTCAGCAAGTACAACGTCTGCATTTGACCCTCCTTGTGTATATCCTTTACACAAACTCATTCGACAGTCTGGTAGGTAGCCTGTATGTCTGTAGGTGTCAATAAGTGACCGGACCTGTCGTGTGAACGTTGCTGGATCAAGGACTGTCAAGAAGGGCATTTGCGAACGGAATAAGTCCCAGATACTGAAAACAGGAAATTAGTCAGCTAGACATCCTTGATTATAAAACTTGACAGGGTGTTCGGTCCTATAATGCTGTCTGTAAACTTACCAATAAAAAGAGTCAAAGTATGGCTCAGTGCTTTCCCAAAGAGGGTTTTCACCAGTGTAATCTTGGGGGTTGACCATTGTACGATAGATGCCAGAATAAAAGTTTTGCAAAATCGATTGATTAACCCCAGTTCTTGAAACGACAATAGGACTAATCTTGTCTTTCCACATTTGTCTAGCCGCATTCTGGGTTGTATTGAAGTCAAAGTTGGGAATTTCTTTCTCGGCACTTGAGCAAGCTTGTTCAGAACTCTTGAGGCTGACTCCAACTCTGGCCAATATACCATTAGCCGGCGCAGATGTGAATCGAATGAATGAACCACCAGGTAGAGGAAATCCATTAATTGATCGAGCAAGTGTCAGGTCTTTCACGTCAGCACTAGCTCTCGTATTGACGTAAATACCGTTATCTCTGATTTGGGCTCCTTGGAAATCAGCGCAGAAATACAAAACGTAATTCCCAATACCAAAACTTGGGTTAAACCGAGCGTTTCCGGTCATTCTTCCAGACTGAGCATCGACCTTTACTGATCCATTGTCTTGCCGGGAATCAGAAAGATCGGTCAGATCCATCAACAACACAGGACTTGTAGTCTCGCCAGCGGGGAACTTGAATCGGAATAAGGAAGTGTGTTGTGCAGTCGTCATTTCGGCTTTGATATCGTTGTTCAATGTTAGGCCGAAGTATCCTGGTGATGCGACAACCGAATCCCGTTTGTACTTGATCTTGCGCTGCCTTTTAACAAACTTGCAACCATTGATATCATCTCTTTCACAGCTTGTGTAGGGGAAAAGGGCGAAGTTTCCCAGAGAGGGACTTCCGCCGGTACCACTATCATGCATATTGGAGAACCCAGTTACGTTCACGTCCTCTGATGTAAAACCTCCTTGGTTGGATTGAGAATCTGTATCTGCTACTGCTTTGGCCATTCCTAATCATCTTAGTAATAGAATTACGAAAAAGGCTCAATAGATATTCACCATAGGGAATAGTAGCACCCGCGAACACATTTCCTAGAATAAGTCAGTTATTATCTGAGTGATAACGAACAATTGGAAGGTTAATACCTCCATTAGCACTTCCGATTAATTGATTAACATAGTCGAGAACATCGTATGTATCGGTAGGATTTTCATTCTGAGCCAATACAACGGTCAGGTAGAATGCAAATATGAATAGCCAAAAACTAAAGTCTTTTCCCATTTTGGCGGACAGATGGCAATAATTTTGCAGAACCAAAAGAGAAAATGCAGACAAGAAAGGACGGGGCGAAACTCATTCAACTAGCAAATGTTGTATGTGTTGGTGTCGGAAGACATGGAGGGAAAACCCCTCATTAATATACCAGAATTTGGACGCCGAGATTGCGACCTACGACAAGCGTCCTACTGTACGAGTACAGCATCATGCGTCATTCACTGCGACGAGAACGATGTGGAAAGCTTAATTCAGAAGGTGGGATAGGGATTGCTGGGAGCGGAGGTACACACACACATGCAGTGCGAGAAACCAGTTGTGCTATCTTAGCCATACAGCGCTCCGCTGCCAACCATAAGAGAGGCACAAACCCATCCCTCCTCGTTTGGCGACAATCCGGGGTTTTTCTTTCCGAGTGCCGAAGCCAATTGAAGTTAGCCTGTACCTTGCAGTAGCTTCCCTCCACCATATGATCAAATTTGGGATACCCTTGTATGCGACATTTCGTGACCAAGGAACTCTGGTGATATAGTCAGATGTGTTTCGGAGTCCGAAACATTTATGTTCTTCAGTCTGGAACTGGTACTTTGATGAAGAAATCTGGCAACAGGAAAGACTGGAGCTAGAGGCAACAACGGAAGGATATATGCGAGGCTAAGTAATTAGTTGCAGAGCGCAACAGGCCTATGATGGACAGCTCAAACTCAAAATCTATAGGCGTGGAACTTATTATGTAAACAAGTAACTATTCCTTTGTAGATAAACAAACCTCGAATCATGTTAGCGAAGAAGAAGAAAAGAAGGAAAGAGACTGACTCTTATCACTGTTTGAGTCGCCTGTTGGGGGATTTTGCTCATGTCACAAGCATTTGGAAAAACCCTTGAAAGACGCAATCTTTATTTATGCATTGGTCACCACAGTTTTACTAGTCACTCCATCTTTTTAATTACTGTTGTAGACAAAAAAAGATGAGCTGTGATCTCAAAGAAGATATAAGAAAAGTCATCAAGAATGTTTTCGTTGCGAATAAATTTGTGATATCAACCCTTTACTGACTGTACTCGTTTAAAGACTGCAATGACTCATAATAATCAGGGCTATACATTCTGCTCAACTACTCAATCGCTATTCGAGTAGGGTATATTCCCAGACTCTAATCTACTCAACTCATTTCATACGGTGGCACCAATTCCACAAGAAGTGTTGAAGAGTGAATTATGACACAACTACCAGTTGCAAATTAAGCTTAAATCTTTCGAGGCCTGTGCTTCCCCCCACTTTCCCACACTCTTTATTCCGCGCTCACTAGGCACAGCACATATACTTGTACTGTACACTAAGTAGTAGCAAACGAAACCTCTATATCCCTCCATTCTCTCAAAGTTTTCTCCAGAGATAATAGGGCAAACTGAGAAACTAAAAAACCCCCGCATTATCTAAAACCCATGCAAGAGTTAAGCTTAACTCGCCACTGTAAATGAAGTTAGGTATTGTTCTATATCAAGGCCAATATTTACTTCGCTTAAGGTTTCTTGCCGTGAACAACAGCAATTATTGTATTAGATACCTCAGTCTTCAGCTCACATAATTTAAATTACTGGTATAATGGACCATGCTCATATAACTCACTCACTGACTGTTGGTGAATGTTATCGTGAAATTTGTTTTCTTCACACATATTCACTTTGTCCTTGGAACTGTGTAGTATGTCTCCTTTCGTTATTCACAAAATGTTCGCAGGTAGTGTAGGTAGCCTACAGGCCATAGATAGGTATCAAAACCCCAGCAAGTTCCTACTCAACTTCCAAAACCTTTCAACCTAAACAACAGCTCTTCACAACAGATGCAGTACCTCTTTACACCCAAGACGCTCTCTAAACATATAACAGCAAACAAGATCTATCCTAGGGATTAGTCTTTAGTCTAGAACAACAGCTTCACACAACTTCTCAAGTCAAGCGAAGGTAAATACTCCATCCTCCCAAACGCTCTTTTTGATATCATCATTCTAACCTTCAACCAGCTACACAAAAAGCGTCCGACTCCCCCGTCGAGATCTTCTTTGATACTTTACTACAGTACAAGCAATCTATTCCAACGCCAAAATGGTGATGAACTGCCGCCTTTGCGGAACCGAGAACCAAGTTCCTTCCCTGATAGATGGGACTGTAACTTGCACTCGCTGCAACCACGGGGAGTGTAACAACTGCGACTTTGTTTGATAGTGGTTGTCTCCCTCATGGGCTTTTTGTCATTACGTCTGGGCCTCTTTTGGTTTGGTTGAAGAGATGAGTGGGTGCATGGAGATATTAGTGGCAAACCATGACGCCACAAGCTGCTTTCCTGAATTGGTCACATCTTTGTATTATAGTGAGTCTCCATTACTGTAGGGAATAGCTTCGGATTGGGTATGATGTGTAGATCATAGACTAAACAATAGAGGCTTTTCTCTCTTAATACACTTTTGCATACATTGCCTTAGTGAAGACTTCTTATCGAGGTCGTAATTGTTTACCCGCAGGATTGGCTAGCTTCCAATAGTAATAAATCCATGTCTATTTAAAGCGGATACTCGAGCATTTTGGTTAACTTGCTGGTAGTAGTAGTAGTATTTTTGCGCCGGGCGAATTTAAGTAGCTGGCCTACTTATCTCCTGTGACCCCCCGAAGGGTATAAGGGCGTGCTAAGCTAGGGAAATTATATACAGTAGGTAATATTCTCTTGAGTGCCAAAAACGCAGGTGGCTAAAAAGACCCCCTCGAGTACCAACTGCAACCTTAGAAAGCATTTCTTGTCGTAAAAACCACGCAAGGTCGTCGTAAAACACCTTGCCTATAATGCCTAGTCTCCTACTCCGTTTAGGGTAACAGGCCGAATTTCTTTTAAGAGAATGTGGTAGGAGTACTCGTAGACCTAGGGTTTCGATGCCTAGACAGCCCTAAAGTATCTATGATTCTTGGTTCGACGTACGCACAAAAGGACAATTCGAAAACCCTTAAGAAATCCAAAATCTAAAAACCCTCGTACCCCCCTTCACTTCCTAATATCCCCTAATATCAACTTTGAAAACCAGTCACCTTCCTACTCCTACAAAAGTGTCCCCGTACCCCCCTAAACGACGTATGCCCGCCCTTTATCCTCCGTTCCGGTGTCGTATCGTTCAGGGTATCCATATTCACAGATGTATCGTGTATAGAGGCCCAGCGTGGTAGGGGCTTGTGTTTTGTAGAGAGGGCTAGATAATCGATAGATTTAGGAGGAGAATAGTCGGTTACGTCGGTGGTAGAAAGTAAGGAAAGGCCGTCGTAGCTAAAAGAGGTTAGATCGCGATAGTCAAATCGTACGTAGTTAATTGTGCGCTTGTCTGTAGTAATGACTCAATCTTGGCTCTCTAACTAGGACAAGCCCTAGCTAAAGGTTCGTAGGATGCACCGCGTACAGGTGTTGAGTCGTCGCATCCCAACTTGCTGGTAGTACTACTCTGAAAGGATCATTGAAGAGCCTTAACCATCGGAGATTAATCAGACACATCACCTTCAATGCGTAGATTTAGAATCTGATTTGAAGTACGAAAAGTTCTAGCAGGACAATGTGGATACCCTTAGGCTGGCCAATAGAGTTTATCCTTTCTCGCTTATCGTTTTTGACTCAGAACCTTTTTACAAATGTGTGGCTAAGAGAAAATCCTGATTTGTGTAGACGCGTTACTGTGATTAGTTGATTCTACATATGTGAATGATTTACCCAGATCGCACAGCGCCAAGCGAACACAATAGCGATCAAGTAAGACAAAGTACCGCTTCTCGTTCTCTACCCCTTGACCATCTCGCTAACCGATTTTCCCCCGTTCCCCACTCATCTCATCCAGTGCCCATTCTTACATAGAAGCACTGTTTAATGCGTCATCTAATCCGTCCAAAACTGAGCAGTCTCCCAGATCGAGTACTCACGGCAGTTCCCACACTTCATCTTCTCACAACCATCGCAACCTTCCTCGTCATCGATGATCATAGTGCGATGACCACAGCAGCAGTGGCGATAGGTGACATTTTGTTGACATCTACCGCAGCAGTTGTGTCCGCAACTGCTATTACCGCAAATGGGTGCTTTGGACTTTTGCTTGCATTTGCAACATTTCATGTAGGACCCATCCTTACTAGAGGGAACTGTGTGGTCAACCTTTTGTCTTGGTGACATGTTGAATTTTTGGCCTTTTTGGTCCTTTTTGTTGAAGTCGAGTAGTGTTTTTTTTTTCGAGTGTTTTTGATGTTGGTGGTGTATCAGAAGCAATTCTCGTCAAGAGGGTTTTGGTTGGAGTTGGAAAGTGTTGCATTTGGGTATATTTTATGTCAATCGGTTGGTACTACGATGAGTGTTCAAACGTCGAGTGAATAACACTTCGCATCTAAAATGGACAATAGCAGCAAATCTGTCCATTCACTCAATAAATGACGAGTTGTCAGTGGCTGAATGTGAACACTCATACGAACCACTATTCATCAAAGTGGAACAATAGGAACAAACAGCCCACTCACATACTACAATAGGTACATGCTTCCACCCTATCAACAGAACAGAGTAGGCAAATATTACCTAGGATCATAACTTTCGCAACCAAGGTACTCAACACCATCATCAATCATCGTATATCATCCAAGTCAACCTAAAAGCTCACTTCCATGCTTCGTCGCAACCACAAGATGCCACCACATCGTCGTCGATACTACGATGATGAAGGATACCCGAGACCCCTCAATCAAAGGGCCTGCAAGCCAAACACGGTGCAAATAATGAGTTGCTGTCGCTGCAAGAAAGATAGCTACGCCAAGAAACATTTGCGACACTGTCATTACTGTTCCAGACCTCGCTGCGGAAAGTGCCTCTTCATGGTTGCGGAACACAAAAATATCATATGGGATCATTCACGGTACGAAGAGGATCATCCTTATGACAGCCAACCCGAAGCCTACGATGAAGAGGATGATGTTGGTGACACCGGTGGGTGGGGTCAGATCGCTGTTGAGACTCGCAAGGAAGAGGTGGTATTAATGGATGACGGTGATGACTCCAATGGGTGGGGTCGAGCGGAATCTCAAGAGGAAGAGATCGATGACGGAAATGAGGGAAATGAAGACACCAAAAAGGAGAATGGGCCGACTAGAGACGATGACGGGGACGTCGAGATGACGGAGGCTGGTGATAATGTCAGGGAAGAAGACTCAATCGTCGCGGTCATAAACTTTCATGAGGAAGATCTCTACGATGCATGAGAAAATACACACATTGATCTCTTCAGATACGGCAGCAAATTTGGAACGAAGCCCCCAGAACCAATAGCCAAATATTGTATAAATCAGTATGATACCATTAACTGTTAAGTTTCTCCAATCAACCTCATACTTACGGGTCCCAAATCAAATGATTCAACGTGCTGTGTGTGAAAACAATGCTATTTCATGAAACGAACGCAAAATATCCGCTCTAGCTTGAAGGGTTGTATATATCACTCTTTAATGACGCGCTTTTGGGAACTCTCGAGGGTAGAAGACCAAATATATACTAAATGGGTAACTGAGTAGGGAGTAACTGGAAGTGGTATCTTAGTGCACTCAGGCTGATGGAAAACATCATTAATACAGAAACTCGCCATTTCAGCACGCATTAATGCACTTTACAGCACAGTAAATCTGTCTGCACTCTCGAACTTTATCATAAATAGTGCAACCAGGAAACGCTAATATATATTTATGTTTTTGCTTCGAGTATCAACTTTCCTACCATCCTCAGGAATAGGAAGTCTCAATTACATTATTAACTCGTAAATTACTTCGAACCACTCAATTACCCCACGAATATCTCGGTAGGCAGTTGATGATAGAGTTGATAATCCAGCTCCTGCGACCACTCCAAGACAAAGAACTTCGTCAAAGCGACCACTAACTCTGGACTTAACTCAGTCTCAACTTCACCCATCGATTCCCGTCGTCTCCAGAAGAACGTCTCGTCTTTATCAACGACGAAGCCCTCAGACGTCTCTAGCCAAGCCTCCACAATAGCAACAACAACTCGAACCAGGTCTCCACTATTGCCACCCCCTGAGATAATCGACGATTGAGCCATCTCACCCATAGAGTCATGGACAAAGTTGACTTCCCATCCCATGGTAACTAAAATGCTCTCGAATTTGCTTATGTCTTTCAGCATTGCTCCAAGCTTAACTCGGTAATGATCCATAACGGGGGTACCATAGGCAAGGAGAATGTCTCTCAACCCTCTGTGCATGGACCAGGAGAGTTGAGACCAAGGTAGACAATCCAAAGCCCTTGCTAACAGCTCCTCCAAATTTGCCGAAAGGTAGACTGTAGCTAGCTTATTATCCGGATCCAAACAAGGCACTTCGAGCTTGCGACCATCTTGCTTGGCATTACTGGGTAACAAAACCAACAAGTCCACCTCAAAGACTTTTCCCCCCATCATATTGTACAGATGGCGACTCCCATGAGCACCTGGAAAGCCCTTCTTACGTTCCTGTAAAATGTAAGGTCCCGTCCCTTTGGCTCGACCCGGAAATGCGAGCTTCCACGATTTGCCATCCGAGATAATCCCACAAAGCGTTTCGATACACTTATCTACACGGACAGGAAAGCTGGCTGGATAAATATCTGTCTCAACCTTGTGACTATCATGAGGCGCGAGAGAGACAATGCATGGCTTTCCTATCGGCCAGGAGATTCTCCATTGCCCACCATAAGAGGGATAGGCGGACAGATAACCAGCTGCGGATGAGTAGCTGAAAACAGGGCGAGCATTAGTCGGTGCGAAGAGGGACATCAATGTTGCGCGGGAGATCTGTACACAAAGTTTCCCTTCGTGGAGTATCAATGGTTTAAGAGAGACAGGTTGGACTTTCGACGAGTGCTTCAAAGATGGACTTAGGTGAATGACGCTCATTATGGTAGACCAGGAGCTGGTTCCATTTTTCTTGAGAGGCAGCCGGGATACTTGAATGTCATTGATGCCACAAAATTTGTCTGCATATCCGGCGATGATGGCTGGCCCGAGGGTAGGTGCTGGGTCCCTAGAAAGAGTTTCCTTCGTGTATATGACGATGGCTGCAATTGCCAATACGGCGGCGGCGCCCTGCAGAATATGGTTATTTTGCGGAGATGTCATCCTTAAAATCGATCTAGTACACTCAGTATTCTTAGCTCCGTAATATTTTGGGCGCTGGATGGGTTTACCTTTGGTAATTTGATATTACTGCAAGGGTAGTGTACACCACGGCTCTCCGTTGGACTTCTATCCGGCGCAATGTTGGGAATGCAGTCAAACGTTTCGGATAGACCAGCTCTACCCTCGGTACATTCTTGGAGTACCCCGCAGTCTAATGCTCTGTGGAGAATTGTTCTCCAGTGGTTGTTTCCTTGAAGATAACGGATTTGAATGGTACAAAGGCGACCAGGGAGGAGGTAGGTATCCATGGATATCTCACTCTGTCACGTGACATAATGCTGTCTGAGTATAAAAGCAAATAAATCTGTTATCTAATCTCATAAAAGTCGAGTATTTTGTTTGGATAGAAGTGGTTTATTTTATTTTAAAAAACAACTAATACAATCTAACTTGTTTGAAGTGTTTAGTAAATCTTACTTTTCAATAGATTATTTTGAAAAGTAATACAATCTAGCCATATAATCTGTTGCCAAGTAGGGTCATACAGCTTATTCCGAACTCTTTAAGATATTTTACTAGAGTGTTCTAAGAGAGCCTCACGTACCTTGAACATTCTTTTCGCTTAACATGATATACTTCAAATTCTACGAAAAGCCAAAGCACCACAGCCTCTCAGCTGAATATCCACAGACAAATAGCAACCCAATCACTAGAAAAACATTTAAAACGTCTCGATAACCTTAAATCGATTATTTGACCCAGTGCCAGAGGCAGCGTCACTAAATACACTATTTCAAGGCGTTTGTTGAACCCGTGGTGGATAATGCGGACTTGGTGCGCTCCTGTAGGATTCCTCGCCAAAGCTTATAATATGGGAGAAAGCCGTGCTAGTATGGAGCCATTCAAGAACGAATCGCACCTTATTTCTCATACTTCTATTGGGAGTTGGTGCGAGTATGCCATGTGGAGATAACTTTGGGGGCTAGGACCACTTCTTGTGCGAGTTGTCTTTCTCAACAGATAGATCGGCTCTGCAGATCTGCGAATTCTTATTTCGGGAAGCGGAAAAAGGTGAAGGCCAAGATATCTTCGCCTCGTTTCCTGCGGCGTGGTTCAAACTATAACTAAGGCTAGATTGAATAGCGATTTTGGTAAGTACCTTTGAATTTGAGCATATAAGGAGTTCCTGTCCTTTATCAACTTCTTGTCATTCATCAACTCACTTTGACGACGAACAAGAGCTCTATTAGGGAGGCTTTCCACTCAATTGTATTACTACATAACTACACATCAGGTTCCCAACCGTTTTAGTCGATATTCATACCCAGTTCCTTTCTCCCCTCCGATGCGATCAAGTCCATGAAGGAGGAATGCAGGGGAGGAACAGCCTGTCCCAAAGAATGGTTTCTTGATACCAAAAGTGAGCTTCCGTTCCCGAACACTCATCCTTTAACACACGAGTATGATTGTTGACTAATGCAACCCCACACAGTTGTCGCAGAAGCCACCGTCGGGCGGAAAGAAAACAAACTCTACAACGCCCAGATCAAAATCGAAGCCCTCGACGCCTCAGTGCAAAAAGGAGAAATCAACCCCCTCTCAACATTCGCAAGCGAAACCTTTGCCTACACGCAAAAGATGAAGCCATTGAAATACTGGCCAACTCCCAAGCCTACGTGTGGGAGTAGAAACCCAGATTGTGACCCTGGTAGGTCCTTCTGGATCTCTATACCGGACTAAAAGATTGTATATTGACTTTCATTCATTTAGTTCGCACCCCGGAAAGAATAATAGATCAATGGTACGGCTCGAAAGTGATAGTGATCAACCATCGTGAGAGCAAGGACCATGGATCTGGAATAGTATCCAACCTACGCTTTCAAATTTCTATTGTCATGTAAGCTTTTCCCTTGACGGTCCGAGGTGAATATTGCTAATAAAGTATTTCCAGGCCCGAATATCCTACCCTCGCAAGCGGAGATTTTATTTGTTCTGGACTGCTCGGTGTAAGTAACCTGCTGTATCGCTGAGGCAGAATCGTACTAATCGTTTGCAGGCTGGTGGTGCTATTGCGGGCGTTGTTAACCCACAGCTTGGTATAACATTCGCGCTTGCGTCACTCACTTGTCTCTTCGCTGCCTAGATGGGTATTTTGGTCTTCCTTGGTGGATAAATCCATGTTTTAATTGTAGGGGTACTTCTATACTTGGAGCAGATCTAAGAATGCGACAAGAAGTATTAGTTGATTGAGGACGTACATTATTCATGTTTGATTTTGTTACTTTTGTATATATCTTTAGTTCTTGTATACTAGTCACTGAGTTTTGGCTAATCACGAAGTATAATTATTCAAAGGTTACTAATAATAATAAAAGAAGAGAGCTCTTAAAATACAAAAGCCTAGAGATATAATAGACGAGATATAATAAACTAAATAAGCACTAGAATATATTACTAAGTACTAAACTTTTAAGTATCCCTTACTTTATAATACCTTAGGAACCGGTAGATAGAACGTTCTAATTAGCTTTAGTAAGTAGTTTACTTATATTTAATTATCGAGAGGTCTAAGTCTAAACCTAATTAGAATATTTTATCTACCGGTTTCTAAGGTATTATAAAATAAGAGATTTATTAATTTATAAAATATAACTTATTAGAAGTAAAATATTTAATTAAATATCCTAAGTTATACTACCTCTTATTTACGTAATATATAGATATATTAGACGGAATAAGCCTAACCTATAATATATAAGTATACTTTACTAGATTGTTTCTATAAAGTTCGCATTGATATGTGTCTTAAGTAACTACCTTTGAAGCACGTGACTATCACTTTTCAACGGCGTGGACACAAAAGCTTGAAAAAAAGAGGGAAGGACTCGACAAGTGATTTTCGATGATTTCGTAAGAAGCACGAAATGAATTTAGTAGGGGGCTATGATTCACTATCATCTTTTGGTTATTCGCACTGTTAAATTTGAACTATTCGCATGAATTTACCAAGTAAACATTTTAAGCAAACGAATTATATGTGGTGAATTTTATGACGAGTGAGGATAAATAAGAAAATCAGCAGAATTCTCGAATTTCTCCTGGACTTTTGAGATTGATTCCCTACTAAGGACATTTTATAGCTATCTGCATATATTAAATACCATGGAACATCTTTATATTGTCTGCGTAGAAACACCAAAGAACGCGGGGTAGTTGAAAACCATGACGGAGAGGAACGTTGCTTGAAAGCTTAAATGGAGAAGAATCGGAAAGACGGGAGATTCTAGTTTTTGCTGTCTGGAACCTTCTCGTCGTATTACCAATGTCGAAAGTGATTCACGATTACGTGCCCTGCCGTGCCTGCGTTTACCTCGTATATGGATCGACATCGGCATTGCCCGGAATATCATGTTTCCCGCCACCAGCCGCCATCGAAACTCTGCACGAACCTGGGGTCGATCCACATAGAAACGCAGGTTGAAAAACGCCATAGGCAACACCTGCGCGCCTATTTCTTTCCAGGCCATCAAACTCTGAACAAGCGCTGAGAAGATTTTAGTCTCATGCAAAGAAAATCGTGCAAGAAGAATCGAACATGAACCGAGGACGGGTGCCGGATACTGATGATGTGCTTCTCCAAGTTGAATTCCCAAATAATGAAGTGGGTAGCATGCCCCACTTACCCACGGTGTGTTGTACGATCATAGTGGGTGAAGTGGCAGGCCACGATTTGGGTGCGAAGACGACGTGGATGCGCTGTTCAACGGCTGACAGTTCCCAATTGCCCAATGCCTCAACGGTCTGCGGGGTCACGGAGTACTCGCTACTTGTCATTAATGGCTACTGGACCGCTGCAAGCAACATCACCTCGTCCGCAGCACTGCACAAGCAATGTCACACTGCTGAAGGCGACCAAAGTCTGCTTGTGGGGGTGGGTGACAATGGATGACAGAGGGCGCTGTCTATTGCCAAAATCCGGGAGATTTGTGCCATTCGTGCAATCTGAGGATACAGCAGGGGGCGGTCGGCAAATGAGGTATGAAAGTACAGGACGAAAAGAGCAATTGTTCATCATCGCAGACTTTTATTGAATATTGATGAAATTGATGAATTGAGAATGTTGACAACGAACCCCTCTGATCTGCGCTTGGCGAGCGATAGCAAGGGTAGCCAAGTGGAGAGAAAAAATACGGATAGCAGGGGGGCCTTGAGGGGTCGCATCGGAACGACACTCGGCCCGGGCCTCCGTAAAAGGAACGATAGGCCGACCGTAAGAGCCGTAAGAGCTCCCCCCTGCTAGCGTGGGAGCTCTGCTTCTCACCACATTTTTTTTTTCACCGCAATGCACGGCTGAGAGCCAAACGAAGGCAATGATACCTCACTCAGGTACCCACCGTGCATAGAAGTGTGGTCGAACTAGGCTAGGTCTCAAGGTCCCCTCTCTACCCAAATATTTCCTCCCTCTGATCCTCTGACCTTTCCCCGCTAGCACCGGCACTAGCACCGCTCCCGTTAGCATTGATTGTCCCTCTCATATCCGGGCGTAGTATGTAACGTAGGGCACCTGCTGATTTCTTCCTCTCTTACTCCTTCCCTCCTTTCTCTTCTCACGGAACGGATCGGATGTCTTTAATCGCGGTCCTCTACTACACCCTCCCGGCGTCCCTCGCAACGGCCGTCATGGCTCCTCCAATCTTCAATCGTCTACGAGCGAGGCTCACAGGAGTTCCTCTGGACAATGGCATGCAGAAAACCATCGGAGCCCCTCCACTCTCTGAAGAGCAGATGGCCGAGGACCGGCAGGTCATCCAGAAGGCCATTGGGGATGCTGTATCCGCAGCTCTCAATAATGATGAATTCACCAGAGCAGTAGCTGCCCATCTGGCACAGCAACTTCAACCTTCTCTCAAGGCAGCGTTTGACACTTCTGCCATGGAAGACAAGCTATCCTCCTCCACCGAACAGCTCTCCCAGCGTCTCGAAGAGAACAGCATCCAAACCGCTGCCAAGTTCTCCGAACTGTCCTCCATGATCACTGTGAACAGCACATGGTCTTCCGAAAAGATTACAACTTTGGAGGAGGCTGTGAAGAATATCAACGGAAACGTTGGCTCACCAAACGAATCTGCCGTTCCCGATTACTCGTCAAGTCTCGACAAGATCTCAACCGACCTTGCAAGCCTCGTGTCTGCCATTGAAGGCCAAAACGCAACACTTCTGGATATCAAGAGCTCTGATGCTAGCAAGCACATCTTGGAAGGTGTCAAGACTTCAAACGACTCCCACACCACACTCGCCTCTTCATTGGAAGCTCTCAAAGCTGCCAGCGAGGCCACTGTACCTTCTGTTGCCGACCTCAAGACTCAAATTGAAGCCATCACTGCCCAGCTCTCGGAAATCAAGACCTCCGACATTAGCCCAGATATTCTCAGTGCAGTCAAGTCTTCTCAAGAATCTTCTGCTGCCCACGCATCTACTCTCTTTGATATCAAAGCACTCCACGAATCACACGCTGCATCTCTTTCTGAACTCAAGGCTGCTACCGCTATTGCAGCTGTTGAAGCCCAGATCAAGAGCCTTGCTGAGGAACTGTCTGCTCAAACTAGTGCCATCAACGAAATCAAATCCACTGTTTCGACTCCTGCTCCTGTTGGAGAGAAGGTTGACCTTTCATCCGTTGAAGCATCTCTCAAGACCATTTCCGACAACTTAGAGTCTCAATCTGCATCTATCACCGACATCAAATCAACTGTTTCTACACCTGCACCAGTGGCCGAAAAGACAGATCTCTCCTCCCTCGAGACATCCGTTAAGAGCATCACTACTACCCTTGAGTCTCACGGCACCGCTCTCACTGATATCAAGACTGTTGTTAGCACTCCAGCTCCTGCATCGGAGAAAACCGACCTTGCTCCTGTTGAAACATCTCTTAAGACTATCATCAGCACCCTTGATACTCAAAATGGCACTCTTTCTGAGATTCATACTGCCGCTTCAAGCTCTGACATTTTGTCCGAGGTCAAGTCTGTCAAGGCTCTTGTCGAAGCCATTCCAGCTCCATCTGCCGGTAACGACGATAAGATTTTGACCGAAGTTACTTCTGTGAAGAGTTTGATCGAGGCTATTCCAGCTCCCTCTCCAATCACCGTCAAAGATGAAGAGATTCTCACCGAGATTGCTGCTCTCAAGACCCTCCTTGCTAGCCCAGCAGCTGGCAAGGATGACGAGATCTTGGCTCAGGTTGAGACTGTTAAAGGACTCATCCAAGCCATTCCTGCACCTCCCACCGTTACTATCAAGGACGACGAGATCTTGAGCGAAATCGAATCCGTCAAGACTCTGATTGGATCCATCCCAGCACCTGCCCCTATCACCGTCAAGGACGATGAGATTCTGTCTCAAGTTTCAGCTCTCAAGTCCTTGGTTGAGGCTATTCCGACACCATCCGCTGGTAAGGACGACGAGATTTTATCTCAGGTTGCTGCCATCAAGACTTCCATCGAGTCTATTCCAGCTCCAACAGCCGGAAAAGACGAGGAAATCTTATCCCAAGTCGCTGATATCAAGACTCTTGTTAAGGCAATTCCAGCCCCAGCTGACGGCAAGGACGAAGAGATCCTTACATCAGTTGCATCTATCAAGAAGCTCATCGAGGGCCTTCCTGTTCCTTCAGAAGCGGATAACTCCGAGGTTCTCTCAGAGGTCAAGGCTGTTGCAACCCTGGTCAAGGGCACTAAGGAAGATGAGATATTAAGCGAAATCAAGTCCGTCAAGGTCTTGGTTGGTAAAAATGGTGGAAAAGGCAAGGGGGCCAACGGAGTCAAGGCTGATGCTGTCGAGATTACACCAGAAGCCTAATTGCATCTCTCTTGGATGACGCTTCGAGACAATACTCGAAGTAGAATCATGACCAGGGGGCATGGGTTCTTTTTCACGATTTTCTGTCATTACATGAGTACATTTTGCTCCTCACGCTTTATACCCTTTGATTCGCAGCCTGAGAGAAGAACGTCATGGTATGACGGATGATATTTATGGCTGGTTTTATCACTTTTGCTCACTTTGTACACGAAACATTGTATCGGCGGGCTTTTGTACGTTGATTTTTTGAGATGATTGTGAGGGAAAGGAAAATGAGCAAATGGGGGAGAGGACAAACAATAAATACATTAATATATTCCTTGTCATTATGAATTTGCGTTTCGTCTGTCTGATGATGACATTTGTGATATGGTCTCTCACGTTTCATGTGTCAATATCATTTACTTTATCTTCTTGAGGCTGTAAGATTCCCATATAAAAGCCTCTATAAAACCTTCCAGGTATAGGGGAATAAATACCATACGGTCAATTCAAGCCTTACCCTCCTTATCTCTCTTTGTCCAGTGATCCACATCAAGTGATCCACATCAGTATAGTACCTTTGAACGTGGCTTCATACCTGGCCCAAGTAGGAGACAAGGAAGTATGATGCATCTCATGACCCTGTTCCACGTCCACCTTTCTATTCTTCTTTGTTGTCTGTTGTTCAATCTTCCTTCCTCTACCATTATATCTTTTTTTCCTGCTGAGTACATTGAAAGATAAATTCAAGTTCATGCTTAAGTTCAAGTTCTAGCTTTATATCGTGTTTACGGAGGACTTTGACGCCCTTCGCAAGAGATTGAGATTGAGATCGTGCAGTAGATTTCGAGGTATATATTGTTGGATATTGACTGAATACGAAGACGACTAAGGAAGGAAGGAATTGGAATTAGTGGTAGAAGGAAGGGAGATGTCGCGATTCGCTACCACCTCACAATCACCGCCCACGACCAGTCAACGCGAAAAAACTATAGAAAATGACACAGAAACGCAAAGCGAGCGACCAAGGAAACGAGAGGAACCTCCGATAAGAGCTTCAAGAAAAGCTTCTTTGCCCCAGCGACCGACTGCGATGTTGAGACCTGCTACGTCTACTTCTACTTCTCCGACGAGGGTTTCTGGGGATACTGGGATGGGTGGAAGTGGGAGTTTGGATGCCGTTGGGCGTTCGGGTACTCATGTGAGGTTCTTGGAGATTCTTGATGGGGATGGTGATGTGAGGGTGGAGGGGGGTATTGAGGGTG